TACAATTACATGAGGAACATTATGTTTACTAGATTCTCCCCTTCACCAAGTCCCACCCACATACGGCTTTCACTTTCTATGTTAATTATTTTAATAGTACATTTGACACCTGAATAAGACAGTTTTGAACTGCATGGGCCGACTTATATATGAATTTTTTCCAATAAATACATTGGAATTTTTTTTGGAGATTTAGGATAATTTGAAAACTACTTTCTCTTCCCTAGCTTATTTATTTTATTTTGAGAAAAAAGCATATAATACACATGACATACAAAATATGTGTTAATCGACTGTTTATGTTATTGGTAAGGCTCTGGTCAACAGTAGGCTATTAGTAGTTCAGTTTTGGGGGAGTCAAAAGTGATACGTGGATTTCAGAGCTGCACAGGGAGTTGGCGCCCCTAATTCCCACATTGTTCAAGGGTCAACAGCATTTTAATTTTACCTAACTTCATGTTACATTTGTAATCAGGTAAAAGAATGTACATTTAATTATATGAATATTTACATTTAAAGACTCAGACATCAAAAAGGAACTAAAAAGAGTGCCAAGTTAACTCTTGAAATTAATAACAAGAAAATCAGAACAAGCATTAAGATTTCAACACATGCCACACACAATACAATACACAACACAGATATATATGTGCAATTCATATGACAATTTCTGGTTTAAATTTGAGTCTTCCAGTTCTTTTGAAAGTTTACTATGTTCTTATAATCAGGGCTGCTCTTTAGCCAATATGCACTGCAATAAACACACCAGTGTTAAAATACTTCAAAACTGGTTAGTAAACAGCCACTTCTTAAGCAACCTGAGTGCCTGCTGGCAAAGAGGTCTCTTCCCTCTACTCTCATCCCCTTCCCAAACTACCTATACCCAGGATCCAGCTACTAAAAAGGCAGCATGTAACACGACAGAAGCCTTTTCCACCTCTACAGCTTGTCTTTGGTGTACCCTTGCTGGACACTTTGTATATCATCATTCTTATATTAGCATTAACTACATCTTACACTTTTTTGAAGGCAAATCATGTTAGTAACATCTTAAAAATCTTTAACTAGAGCAATATAAATAGAATTTTTGGTTACAGTGGATACAAAAGGTCAAATTAATGTAATAAAACACCACTGTAGCTAAAGTTGGTTTCTGTGAGTTTATGTCTGCAAATTTTTTTCTTATATTCAATCATGGGCTGTTTCTAGACATCAGTGATGATAGAATTACATATAGAAAATAGGAATCTTCTATTTCAGAATGAGAATTATAATAAAAGTAATTACGTTTTTGTGTTATTTATAAGTTTCTTCATCCTGCTTCTTTTTCTTATTAGTTAAAAAAAAATTGTTGATTTCTCTATTTGGCCACTGATGACATAAATTAAAAATTAGGGTTCATGATGACATAAATTAGAAATTAAAATAGGTTTTACTATCCTATTTTTTCCTCTCTCCTAAGCTCTGGTGAAAAATATTATACATCATCCTTCTTTAGATTTGATGATCAGTAGGGACGTACGGATGGAACTATATACATAGTAAGGGCTACAAAACATTTTATATTTTTAAATACCATATTTAAGAACAGGATTATTCTCATAATTCTTAATTTATCACTTACCATTATACCTATCAGTTACAGAGTACTATATTGTGCATCTTAAGATAAAAATAAAAGGTTTGTATGAACAAAACTCCATGCAATGCCAAGAGGCATGGAAGCATGAATGGTTTACTTCAACAATCACGTTGCCTAGCAATAGTAATAAATTAAGTATAGACATAATTAGAAAGCTACAATGGAGAGTGAAAAACCAAGAAACCAACAAAACAGTAATAGAAACTAACATTAGCATGAGACAAGAAAAGAGTTAATATCTGTATTTCTTTAAAGGGTAGTCAAAGTTGAGTGTGAATCTCTCAGTCTAGAGTAATGATTTACTGAGATTCAAGCCCCAGTACTACTTATTATTCTATAACATTCAGTGTTAGAATGAGCCAGCTTTTAATGCCACTTGAAATGCTGATTATTTTAGTTACTGAAGTTTATTATGCCTAAAATTATATTCAAAATTAGATTCTTAATCATATAACCATATTTATTTACATTTGTGCAGCCTGTAAGATATCAAAAAAGACATATACTATGAATAATAATACAACCATTTCAGCATACTTTTGGAAGATAATCACAGCCCAGTAGTATTGCTAGTCCAACCAGAGCATCTCTATCCAAACCTAGTTTACTCTTGATAGATGACATTGTATAACAGTCAACATGTGGGTCCTAGAAGAAAGTACAGGTTAATCTTCAAAAATTAAACATATATACACTATATAATACTACAAATAATAATTTATCAGAGTTGTCTCTAAATGCTCAATTATTCCTAAAAGTTTAAATAGGGAATTATCCATACCACCAGAATCTTCATACAGTCCTACACTTCAAAACAGGTATATCCCCACTTTCCTAAAAATTCGTGTTACACCACTTTGCTCTAGCAAAAGATCTACATTAGTACCTGTTTTCTCTGACCAAAAGAAATCAAAAAAGCATTTTCACTTTTATGAAAAAAGGTGAAAATAAAAAATAGGGCTCAGCATTTGTTTTACAGCAAGCTGCCAATAGAGGCTGTGCACACTCAGCAGTGACAGTGGTCCTGCCAAGCTCCTTCCCAGCAAACTACATCCAGTACCTCAATATCAGGCTGCCAGATCTTTGAATTGTATCTGTGAGCAACTGTGCTTTACCTTTATTTATTTTGTGGATATGTTAACAAGATGTGTCCTAAGGTATCAGAAAAGCCTATGAGAGGTTATCTTCATGTCTGGGAACACTAAGAAGTTTTTCCATATAAATTAATGGTAATTGCTTCTTTGCTTTATGTCATCTCAGCTTATGAAAGGCGCTGTGCAGAAATACTCCACTTTTGGACAGTAGGGAAGTTTGTATCTGGAAATAAAGTCATACTTTCAAAAATGGTTTAAAGAATAGATGTAGTATTTTTTTTTCCTCTTGTTTTTTTGGTGTCCACAAAAGTAATTTTCATCTTACAAAATTCAACCACATAAAAATGTACATTATAGGAAGTAAACATTTCCAGTAATTACATCATCTAAAGTTAAGTATTATTAACAGTGTGGTGCATATTCTTCCAAAAACATTTGTTGACAGATATATGAAAGTATTTATTATTAACTATATTTTTAAGTAAAACAGAATTATATAAAAATATTATTTTGCAATATTTTTTGCACTCTAATATATTGGGATATCTTCAATGTCAATACTACATACCTTTTTAATGACTTCTTACTATATTATATGGATTCTGAGGTAATGTTTCTCAGTGGGGACACTATTAACATTTCCAGAGAGAGAACAGAATTGTTTGGCAAGAGGTATAGCTTTCCTGGCTCCAATCTGCCAAATGTCTATAGTCTTCCCTGCCCAACCCTGAGTAGTTCCAAATGAAAATGTCCCTTGGTAGTACCTCCCTAGCTGAGAACCATGGCTGTATTCAGCCATTCCCGATGAGTGGACATCTGGGTTGTTTGACAAATTTTTGTGATTACTAACAATGCTGTAATTAACATTCTTGTATATCTCTCTTTGCATATTTGGAGGTGTTTTTGAGGATAAATCACTAAACTGGAAACTCCAGGTCAAAGCAATACATTTCATAATCTTATGATATATTATTTTAACTGATAAAGAATTAAGTCATGTGAAACAAGTCAAGCCCTGAGGAGAGAAATCCACACTTCAAAGCGAATGAACTATGTGACAATGCTATTTTTAATGACAGCAAACATTTTATTTAGCAATTGTTATGTGCCTATGTGCCAGGCATAATGGCAAGCATTTTGGACCTATTATTTTACTTAATCATTAAATAATTTCCTTAAAAAAGGTAGCTAGTAAAAATGCTGAAATGGAGAAAGAAAAAATACCTTGGTATTCATGGTGAAATTGCGATAAACAGTCTGGGCTCCGTAAAGGAAAGCATCTCCATCATTGGTGAGGCAGCCGTCTACATAACCATGGGCATTGAGATAAGCACACATGGCTTCAGCTTCCCCAGCAGCCTGGACCCAGGGAATTCCTAAGCATTCCAGCATATCAAGACACTGAAAAGAAAAAGTAGGTGCAAGAAATCTAAGAACATTTTTCATTGCTGTTTTTTTGGTGTTTAACTTATTTCTACATTAGAAATATTATTATAAGTAGGTGTTTTACAAATTATGATATTTAAGGAACCATTGGAAATTTGAACAATGAATACTTTATAGCTTTAAAAAATGACTGTTAAACTTTTAAGTATGATAGTAAAAATTGTATTATGGCTATGTTTTTATTAATTTTTAGGAGTCCTTATGTTTTAGTCAAAGGTACTGAAATACTGAGAGTGAAACAATATTATGTTTGAGAATGGGCAGCAGGGGAATGGATGGAAGGATAGATGAAATGAGATTGGCCAAGACTTGATAACTGTTTCAGGTTGATGATGGGTTACTTCTGTATTGATTTAAAATTTTCTGTAATGAAAAAGTCAACATTTTTAATATCAATTAAAAAGTAACCAATACTCAATTTTAAAAAGTAAATTTAAAAATCCTTTCAAAAAACATAATATTCAGCTTTCATTGTTTTGTTCAGTGTTATCTGAAGATCCTGGAAATATTTTTAAATAATTAATAATTAATCACATTAAGATTTATATTGATAAAACCAAGAATTCTTCTCAAAGGAGCAACTCAATCAGAGTTCTTCCAGAGAAGATACTATTAAACATTTTAACTTGAGGCCGTAAAGTTCTCTTCTTTTCCTCATAGTACCTCTGTACAGTGAAACTCTCCTATTGTGAGAAGCCACACAGGGGTCAGTTGATGTGCTCCTGGGGAGTCAGATGTCTGTGCAGGAAGTTTATATCAATTCACTAATGCATAAATAATCTTCTGTGAGTTTTCTTTGGGTTAAAATTTAACCCAGCCAAGCAGCTTGTAGTTTAGCCTTACAACCTGGTGCATTCTTTCTTGTCATTTATCATTCTTGCATTTTATCATTGAGGAATACTGGGTATGGTGAGGAAGAGAGGCTACTTGTAGTTTCTAGAGATTGATAGAATAAATATCATCTTTTATTTTAACTGATTAATTGCTTACACATTATGTTACATAATACAATCCTCTGCCATATGTTGCCCAAGGTGGACAAGGTTCAAAAAGAAAAAGTACTATGTTGAAAAAAAAGGGTACTTCTCAGGACTCTGGGCAGGTGACTTCAGGGGACAGTTACAGGTATTGCTTCACTGCAACATGATTGTTGCTTTAACCTTCCTTTATAAGAAGTATCCCTTCATAATAAAAGAGTTTGAAAGTTATTTCAAAATCTTGTGTCATTTGTCATTCTAAATCTTTTCAAAACCCAGCATAGAATTTGTGATGAGGCTGGTTGCAAATTTCCCTACCCTCAAGTCTGTCATAGAGGGTGGTATTGGAAGAAGACTAATTTGTGCTTTCCTGCTTGGTCCTAAAAGATGGCCGTGGATTAGGAGGAAGTAGGGCCTAGCAACGGACGGTGCTGAAACAGGAAAACGAATAATGGGCAAACAACTCTCAACTGACACAAAAAATTTAAGAACACCACAATTACTGGGATAAAGAAATGGGAATGGAGCAATTTTCTCAAGAAGAGATGGACATCTTTTTGCCTTATATCTGCTTTTACTGCCCTAAGTATGTGGACCATGGACATTTCCAGGAACTGACTATAAGAGAAAAATTACAATTCAGTACAGATATTTTATTCAGCTATTGATAGTCATTAAGGTGGCATAACAATTAATTGAAAACTATTTTCTAAAAAAAATCACATAAGAATAAAAAATAGGTATTTAAGAGAAAATGATTGTTATACAGTATCTTTTACAATAAATGAAAATTTTAAGCAAAATTTAAAAGAAAAACAAGGATATGAATTAAAAGCAAATATGATAAAAAGTTTATATCCTTAACATATAAAGAAGTTTAACAAAAGAAAAAATTAAAACCTTGAAAGACAAGAGGGACAAGGACATGATGGCCACTGTTCACTGAGGTACAAAAACTAAGTTAAATGTTTTTCCTCACCAATAAAATACCAACACATATTAAACATATATGTATTTAAAAATGTTATATAGACAAAGAAATATTTTTTTGCATATTAAATAATACAAAAATAAACCTCCTACTATCCAATGATCTGTGGGTACACTGAAATTGCTTATCTCATATCTGAACTAGTAGAAAGAAAGTAATAGCTATAAAAGTTGGCAAGAGCTATAAAATGATTCCTAAACTTTGGTCTATCCATCCCACTTTGGGTAATTTTATTTTAAAATCCAAAATCAGAATAAAAAGCAATTACACAAAAAATGTTCATTTGAATTTTTGCTTATACTAGAGTTGAAAGGCAAACAATACATAAACATGGACAATGATTCCCTACCTTTATATATATTGCACAACCATTACAGGTATGAATTTGAATAGAATGTGGCAACAGAGAATTATGGGTAGGATATGTTAAATGAAAAGTACAAGATAAAAATTATTTGTACACTATTATGGCAAATTCTAAAAAATACATTTGAAAAGAGGCAAATGATAGTAGCTTCAAATTGTTTTAGTTATATATTTTCTTTTAGTATAGATTTTGCCTCTTAACTTTTCTGAAAATATATACATTTTATAGGTGATATATAAATATATCAAAATACAAACAATAAGTACTTTTAAAAATTGCAGAGCCCTAAGGGAAGCCAAACATGTATTCTATATACAAACTATTATTAGTTTTGAATGAGTGAAGTATGGATGGGATCTCTATTATGGGAGTTCATTAAGTACTAAAATATCATAAAAAGGCAACATGTATCAAGTCTCTACTACGTACTAGTTGCTTTAGATATTAGACATTTACATTTTTTTTTGTAGTTTTCACCACAATCCTACAAAGTATAGTATCCTCATTTCACAGAGTAGGAAATGAGGCAGATATAAGTTAAAGATCTTACTCAACATCTGAGAGTTAAGATCTAGATGCCAAAGCTACTTGAACTTGGGCCAGTTTCACTCCAAAATATAAACTCTCTTCTCTATCCACATTGACCTTCTATTTATAGGAAGGTTAGAGAGTATTAAAGATGATTCATAACCTTTATCAGAATAAAATGTACTCTCTAATTAAAATCAGAATTATTGAAATCAGATCTCACCTCTCTTAAAACTGATTTAAAATGTGATCTTCCTGTTCTCTGAGGCCATGTTTTTCCCGAAGGCCCATACCGCATCTGATTCCTTTTGCTTATAACATCAGCTTTCAGCCTTGGCGGTTCCCCTTCCATAACAAACACTAGTTTCACATCCATTAGCGTTAAATATGAGATACGAAAAAATAAGTTCCTGAAATATAAAAATGAGTAATACATTAATCATATATTGATAGCAAAAGTCAACATAGCAGTATGACATAATGGCAAGAACATTAGACAAGTATAAAAAAGGTGATATGCAGCAACATTTTATTTATTAAGGTTTTATCTTAAGTGAAGTAAGAAATCACTGAATGTTTTTAAGCAAGGGAGATTTATGATTATTCTAATTGCTGTGTGGAAAGTGCTCTGGAGGGGGACAAAAGCTGAGGCAGGGACACTGGTGAAGAAGTCGTTTCAGCAGTACAGATGAGAGATGATGTAGGCATACACTGAGGTGGGGCCTCTGGACACCAAGAGAAGTTTATGAACAGAGGGTCTTCTTTGGAAGTAGCAACTGGCAAGACTTCCTGATAGATTGGATGTGGGGAGGGTAAAACAGGCAGAATGTCCCCAATATTTCTGGGTTTCAGTCACCAAAGCTCCCAGTGGATATGTTAAGAAGGCAGCTAATTATATGAATTATATAATTCAAATAGCTCAAAGGGTAAAGAGGTACAAATTTGTGAGTCATCAACATAGAGATGGCAGATCTAGTCAATAAAGTAATATTTTAAAATATCAAAATATAAAATAACAACAAAAGAAATAAAGTGGAAACAAAGCCAAGACATTGACTGTTTATGCGCCTATATTTATATTCTAAAAACTTTTACTGTACCTGAGGTGGGGCTTCATGACTGTTCCGATCATTTTTTTGACTGTCTGTGCTTCACAAACCCAGAGACTCAGATCAACTGCAATGGTTTTCCCACCAAGACTATGCAGGTGGCTGTGTTGCTTAACAGGCTCCAGAATTTGCCACAAGTCATTCACTCCCATCCTGGTGATTATCTGCTGTTATTTGAACACATTTAAAAAAAAAATTGTTCAGAGACACAGAAGCTCAAAACAAGAATTCAAACAATACATTATGAACTTACTTAGGATAATTAATAGATGGAGGATTCTCCTTATTAGCTTTTCAGAATGAATGAAGAACACCAGAAACAATAACAATGAGGTAATTAATCACTAGCTATGAATAGATGCAAGTAATAGATTAAACATTGTGTACAGATTGCAGCATGCTAAATTTGTCCTTAAAATCCACTCGTCACCAAAGATGGATTTCTTTACAGTACTGATAGTTATTTTTAAATTTAATATAACCGAAATGTCAATGGTCCCCTTGTCCCTTCTCCTTCTGCCCTCTATGTTCTCTTTAGCAGTGCCTGAGAAGAAAATTTTTTACCTGGTTACATTAATATTGCATGAAATTTGGAAAATAAAAGGAAAAAAATCACCAAAAGTATATGGTGCTAATTGGCTTTGTTCCAGCTAAGAATAAGGGCTAACAAATGCAGAGATTGGTAGAAAACCCAGAGTTGCTGTAAATCATATTTGTCTTCCTGAGAATTTACTTTTTGATTTGTATACCTAGAGAATAGGACTCATCCTCTATCACAATTAGGAAAACAGAAAAACAAAAGCAAGGAACCATGCAAGCAGGCAAACTAAAGAAAAAAACCAAGGGAATATTTAAGGAAAAGTGACAGAAAAGTGGGGGTACAGAGAAGATGGAGAGCTGGAGGAATTTGGAATTATCTATTTAAAAGAGCACTGGCTTTTTAAATTGCAAGGTCACGCATGTTCATTGTGGAAAAACAAAAGTCTTTTAAAAGAAAAAAGCTTAAATCACCTGTAGTTCATTACTCAAAGAAAACTAATGCTAAACTCTTTGCTACATGCATGACATTCTATAAACAAAATTGGCTTAAACTCTGCTATTGTCACCTGCTTGGGTATTTTCTATAGACCAGTGTTTCCTTATTAAACACTTCTATCTGTTTTTCCTTTACTTTGTTATTAATTGATAAAAACATTATATAGCATTTGCAACGAAGATTCTGTCTGACTATACATATATAACCCAGATTATCATCATCTTAATAATGATCTTAACTCATCCGCAAAACCCAAGGTAGGATATGAAAAAATACTAAGTCAAAAGGCTTTCCCCATGCAAAATGCAAAACCAATGCAAAACCATTTGAAATAAAAAGTACAGTATTGTCTGTTCCTTTAACAAAATCTATAGTAAGAGCAAAATTTCTCAAATTTTACATGGTTAAAAAAGAAAATAAATGCTGTTAATGTTGCTGTCATTTTCTCTGCATTTTCCTGAATCTTAATTTCATAATGTGGCCAGTGTCACCATAAGTACTGTTTTGTGCACTCATTTTTATGAAGAACTGTACAAATATTTGCTGATGAGTTGTTACCAGCAGACTCTAGAACAGGGTCCTCCATTCTCTTCATGTACTCAAAGAATTTAACATGGAGACTTAGGAGTATGCAAGCAAGCAGTGCACTTTATTAAAGAAGTGAGGACACAAACACCTTGATAGACCAAGATGAGCTGCTTCAAGAGAGTCAGCTCAGAGAAGAATCAGGGTAGCTCCTATTAAAGGGAGCAAAAATGTTTATTCACTAGTAATTAGGACACCTAGCATGAGTAGGGAGGCAATTAGCACATGCGCAGTTGGATTACATACATAAATGTAATTACATACACGTATGCAATGTCACTCATGTAGCATTAGTATATAAAATCTCCACTCAGGGGTGGGAAATTCAGTACTATAACAAGGAAAAGGCAACTATGGACACCTAATTTTCCTTATGTGTATGTCACAAGTTGTTTGTGGCTTGGTCCATTGATTACTTAACCAAGGGTTTTCTAAACCTAGGACATAGTGGCTAAAAAACTTGTTAAAACAATAGGTTGATATGAAAAACAAGACCTACTGGAACCTTAGTTGATGGTTGAGTCACAAGGCATTTTGTCAGGACTTAGGTATGTGGAGTTGGATTGGTCTCTCCATTTGTTTTCTACTTATCTCATTATCACTTTACTAAGAAAAATACACAAATTTAAAAGCAAAGAACAAAAAGCATTAGTAGTTCATGGTGCCTTATCACTAAAACCATACATTTTACATTAGGAAGCCCCACCAGTTGAATGTGGCACTGTGGCATAGATTCAGTTAAGATTTCGTCTCTGTTCATGTGAAAACTTAGTTAATTCTGGATAAAGAGTGAGGATACATGTATTTTCTAAGGCATTTTTATGAAAGTGTTAAGTGTTCAGCATCAGAACACATAAAATTCAGGAATAAGAAGTTTGAGGAGGAAGTTCTGGATAGTTTTGCTTTCCTTTTACTTGTGACTCAAGCTGGGTACTGGAATGGATTACTCTTAAGAAAATTAGGCAGTTTCTCCCCCTGGAGGCACATTATCATAACTGATCTCATTTTAAATGAGACCCTGACCCTAGCTGTCAAAATTTTAACTGCTGGTTATCTTCTAATTCAGTAATAGCTCTCCTAGGAATGTAAGATATGCTCTTAGCTGTGTGCAGATATCCACAGTAGCATTGTTTATAATAGTAAGACAATGAAAAAAGAACCAAATATCTGTTAATGGAGATCTATTTTTAAGTAAATTATGGTATGGCCAAACAGTGGAATAGACAACATAGCAAATAAAAAAATGGGTTCGATCTCTATGTACTGATAAACAGTCTCCATGTTTTTAAATGAAAACAGGTACAAAATAGGTTATATATCAGGGATGGGGAGAATTATGCTTCAAAGTAATATCCCTTTGTGTTAATTTAAGCAATCATATGCATTTATTACCAAAAAAAGTTTTAAAAAATGTCCTATCTGGAAGGGGTTGGGGAAATAAACTAGAAATCTTCAGATGGCTTGTGTCTTGGCTAACTAGTAAGTGACCAAATATGGATATAGTTCATGGGTCAGAATAAAAAGTAATGTTCTGGTAGGGCTGGGGAGGCACCAGCTGCCGCGCGGGGAGGAGGCCGTGGCCGCAGCTTGAGGGAGGCCCTGGCCCTTCTGTGCCTGTGTCTGGCAGAGCCGGTGTGAGACGAAGAGACAGTCCCTTTCCTGCCGCCTGGGTAATCAAGAGTTTTGGCCAGACCCTTGAGCACCAACACCGAGACAGAGAGAGAAGCCAGACGAAAAGCACAGACTATGGCACTGAAACAGATTAATAAGGAACTTAGTGATTTGGCCCGTGACCCTCCAGCACAATGTTCTGCAGGTCCAGTTGGAGACGATATGTTTCATTGGCAAGCCACAATTATGGGACAGCCCATATCAAGGCGGTGTATTCTTTTTGACAATTCATTTTCCTACAGACTACCCCTTCAAACCACCTAAGGTTGCATTTACAAGACTTTATCATTCAAATATTAACAGTAATGGCATTTGTCTCGATATTCTAAGATCACAGTGGTCTCCTGCTTTAAATATTTCTAAAGTTCTTCTATCCATTTGTTCACTGCTGTGTCATCCAAACCCAGATGACCCCCTAATGCCAGAGACTGCACGGATCTATAAGACAAAGATAAGTACAACAGAATATCTCGGGAATGGACTCAGAAGTATGCCATGTGATGCTACCTTAAAGTCAGAATAACCTGCATTATAGCTGAAATAAACCTTAAATTACTGTTCCTTTTTTGATTTTCTTATCCGGCTGCTCCCCCATCAGACCTCATCTTTTTTAATTTTATTTTTTGTTTACCTCCCTCCATTCATTCACATGCTCATCTGAGAAGACTTACTAAGTTCTTCCAGCTTTGGACAATAACTGCTTTTAGAAACTGTAAAGTAGTTACAAGAGAACAGTTGCCCAAGATTCAGAATTTTTAAAAAAATGGAGCATGTGTATTATGTGGCCAATGTCTTCACCACTAAAACCATTCCTCACTGCTCTAACATGCTGAAGAACTCACCTGAGGGGGAGGGAGATGGATGCTCAGTTGTCACATCAAAGGAAGCATTACTCTAGCATCCATTCTTGTTTAAGCCTTCCACTGTTAGATTTGAGGTTGTGATATACTTTATGCTCATAACTGATGTGGCTGGAGAATTGGTATTGAATTTATAGCATCAGCAGAACAGAAAATGTGATGTATCTTATGCATGTCAATAAAGGAATGACCTGTTCTTGTTCTACAGAGAATGGAAATTGGAAGTCAAACACCCTTTGTATTCCAAATTAGGGTCTCAAAACATTTTGTAATTTTCATTTAAATTGTTAGGAGGCTTGGAGCTATTAGTTAATCTTCTAATACACTGTTTAATATAGCACTGAATAAATTATGCAAGTTGTCAATGGATGAGTGATCAACTAATAGCTCTGCTAGTAATTGATTTTTCTTCAATAAAGTTGCATAAACGAAAAAATTAAAAAAATTACAAAAAAGTAATTTTCTACAAATTTATGAGTACCTGATATCAAATATGACTTCAGTGTGGCTTTTTAAGGGATGAGAGATTCACATTTTCTGGTTTCCCTCATGCTGCATAGGAACTAGTTATGTGGTCTTAGGCAAAGCATATTGTTTCCATGGCCCTTCCAGCTCTAAGGTTCAATCCTTCTTATCATGTCTCTAATGCTTCATTACATAAGTTGACTACATATATATAAATAATAGTAATTAATGAAGACTGTCACCAAGTGCAGTGTTGTTTATGATGGCACACAAACACACATTCATGTATAGGACTGTGATACAACCCGTATTCCTTCTGAGGGTTGTGGCAAAAATTAGAGACACTGATGAAGTACTCTTGATTTTAATGAACTGTAGTCTAAATATTTCAAGCACATTAGGAACATTTTGTTAAGACTTTAATGGAATATGATGAACTGGGGCAACCATGCCTGGGAACAGATAAGGCCAGAACTGATTCTGTTAATAAATTGATTCCCAAAGATTGGATCCCCTAAGAAACAGAATGCTTTTAACTGAGCCCATAAATACTATCTTTAATATAATATGATCATTATACTTAAAAGTTAATTCTTCATATTAATTGTCAGAAATAAACTTGGCTTAAGGAATGAGCATCCATGATTATGTTACAGAACAACTACCAACTTGTGGGTGAACAGATATCAACAATGTCGACCTAGAACATCTATTTTGGCTACTCCTTCATTGAAATGTGAGCAGACTATGAAGCTATAACAATGGCTACTTATAAAAAATGTCTCTTTCATTACCAATCTTTTTGGTCATATTTTAAGCAACTCAAGTCTTTTTGACCACTTTGGTACCTTAACCTACAGTCCCTGTATTGACCAAAATGGACTTGAGAAATGTTAGTTTCTCCTGTTCCTCATGCACACTCCTATGAGCATGAAAGAAATATTGCTACTGTGAAATATGCTTTTCTCCTGACTTTTTTCTCTGAATGATAGGAATCAAGGAAACATTTTTATAGGAGGTAGCCTCTATGACATGCCCCAGTGAATCTTTTTTTCCCTTAAAAAATTATTAATGAATTTCTATTAGACCTTCTTGAATTAGTGTTAAGACTTTATACAGCCTTTACTACTTTTAACTAAACAATAACAGATTAGAACTATGCTAAGCAAAAATATCTAAATGATTGGGGGTAGACATGGAATTGGAAAATGAGCAGAAAGATTTATAGGAAGAATATTTTCAGGGTCAGAGGCCAACTACGCTGGAAGGAACATTATTGCTGAGCCCCTTTAAAGACTCTATGACCTTTTCTTCATTCTCCCTAATATGATTTATCCCCACTACATTTGACATCTCCCCAAGCACTTGACTAGAACATCTAGTTTTCTACTTTAGATGCATAATATGCATCTAAATCCTGTTTCTACCACCTCTCCTCAAAACTGTTCTAGTCTTTCCCTAATACCCAGTTGCTTAGGCCAAAAACCTAGGACTCATTCTTGATTCTTTGCTTTACTCATTTCCCAACAGCAACTTGATTAGCAGTCTTCTATTCCAAAATACATCTTAAGTCCCCATTTCTAATGACACTCCCCTAGTATTGCCTGTATATAACTGTCAGTCTCCCAACTGGCATTCCTGCTTCTACTTTTTACTGTCCTCCACTCCCACACAATTACTCTCCCCACAGAAGACAGTGTTTAAAAACTGAAAATATATTAAAATCATCATCTTTCTGGTAATGGGTAGTGGATTTCCTTAAAGTGACATAACTTGTTTGTCACTAATTTACTTCTTTATTTACGCTGCTACCTCATAGCCAGTTATAAATGCAAAAAATGTTAATTTTGTTTAATTACATAAGCATTCTAAGTGTAACATTATTTTAACATACTATTTCAGGATTATCTTTAGCAGATCCACCATCTAAGTTGTTTCAGATAAAAATGCATGCTTCTTTTGAAAGTCATTCATTTAAATGGAATAGTAAAGGTCTACCCCAATAGTTCTGAAAGGGCAAAATTATGTGAAATGTATGTTTTCTGAAAAATAACACTGTGACATTTTAACAATGCAGTTTATCCAAAAGGTCTAGTTGCATGATGTTTTCCTTTTCTTGTCACTTTCTTTACACCAGCACTTCCTCTGAAGTGACATTAACTAGAAATGGTAAGACTGTAAAAGCACACTAGGTTCCAAAAGGGACAGATGCACCAGCTTTTAAGATATTCAAGTACAACTACATTCAAAGATAGAACAGATGGTTCTGGCATGAGGTCATGATCAAGCTGATGAGGTTACCTGAGAACAGTTCAGCATTAAGTAAAATTTAACTACATAATATTAAACTCACAGAGAATAATGCATAACTTATTTTTTTATTTTTTGGTATCATTAATGTACAATTACATGAGCAACATTATGGTTACTAGACTCCCCCTATTATCAAGTCCCCATTCTTGCTCATTTTTTAACACGATGTAATTTGAAGTTTTTGAGGTATGGGATTCAGTGCATCTTTGCTCAGATCTTTTGTAATGTAATAATTTCATTGTCAATATGATCATTAAATCAATATACATTGTATATAAAGAGTCTCCTACCATCTTCACAACTCTGAGGAGTGAGCATGACACACGAATACTTATGTGAATTAACAAAGTCAGAGCAAGCCATAGCAAATAACTTTAAAACCTAGTAGTGGCTTCAGTTTATTTAGTGAAAGAGCACTGGACTTGGGAAAGGAAACCTAGGATTTTGGTCTTGGATATGGCACTGATTAGCTGTATGGTCTTGGGAAGACATTTAACCCATCTACAAAATGAATTAGATGAATTATAAGACTTTGATGTCCTTTGAATCTCATGACCAATTTTGGTATCTTGGAACTAAAAAAAGATCACTCTATTTTGGATAGTATTGCTTGGAAGAAAGAGCATGAATTTCTAGTTTAAAGAAAGGACTTACAAATCCACTTCAGGTTAAAAGAAAAACAACTCCTTTGATGTACCCATATGGTGCCCATAAATCAATTTATGTTCCTAAAACTTCCTTAAAAGCTAATAAGCTTTTATTGGTTAATTATAAAACTGAATGAGGTGAGAAAAGCACAGAACCTTGCTAATTCCACTAATGAATCAAACTTAAAGAACATAAAAAGGTCAATGGCTTGATTCATACAAAAATACACATTTTATTAAACCAACAGTTTTCCAATTTTATTTGTTTTAAATAAACTAAATGATTTAAATAAATCATTTGCTTGATTTATGCAAAAATACACATTTTATTAAAGTAAAAGTTTCGCAATTTTGTTTTAAATAATCATTATAAAGAATTCATAACAATAAAGTGGGAAATACTTTAAATTTCCCAATTGCCATTTAGAAGATTACGTAATCATATAGATTGGTAAATGGTGTAAAGTTTATTTCAGAACATGGTTGTAATTGTGTGGGATTTAACACATAATTTCACTAATCAATGCTGTTTTAAAATTATTTCGTTTTATTTCCACATGTATTTAGCTTTAACTCTGCAGCCAATATAAAACCCAGGCTTAATTTATATTTACCTATATTTATTAAATGCCTATTATATGCCAGCAACTATTTTAGACACTGGAGATACAATAATGAAAGACCAAGCTCTGCCTTTAAGGATCTTAAGACTGGTCAGTGAGACTAGAGATAAAGAGATAATTTAACAGTGTGACAAGTACAGGCTTAGAGGTAAGGTGAATGAGGTATAGGAGTATACAGCAAAAGTACCTTTTAGTCTTGGGTATCAAGGAAGGCTTCCTAACGGAAGTGACATCTAAACAGAAAACTCCCAACTGTGTTTCCCATTGTTTATCAACAAGGACCGACTTAGGCCAGATGTAGTGTTTTTGGTATATTTTGACTAGGTTATACTTTTCACTGTACCCTGAAAAGAGCCACCATAGGAATATACATTTTTTTTTTTTTACCTTTAGAAATAAAAGCGTGACTTTAATGTAAAGAATTGCATTACTGGGGACCAGAAGTTTGACATCTATTTATCTGGGGATAAGGCTGGGGGGCGGCCGTAACTGCTACTTTGTCCCATTTAGAAGGAAAGATTTTGGAGTATAGCAAGTGGATTACTTGGCTAGTCAGCTTAGTCACTAGAAGAGTTGTGTGAAGACACAACAGGTAAGGTAATGGCGGGCTGAGGCGAGCACTGAAATCTACGCCAAGGAACTTCAATTCCATTGGTCCGGTACTTATTGAGGGGGTTTACAATAAAGGCTTGTGCGGGGAAAAGACTTTAAATAAACCACCACAATGCCTTAAGGTCTCTGAGATAATGGCAAGTATTTTCGAAGCGCAGCATTAACACGGAAAACGCAAGATCCAAGTGTGCGTACAGAGATCAGGGAAGGCCCGCCCCGTTCGGCCTTGACCCAGGGGGAAGGACGGGGGAGGCCGCCCAGGCAGAGCTCGGGGACGGACACCGAGTCCTCCCGGGCAGCAGGGCCGGGCCGCGGCCACGCGGTTTCCCACGGTGTCCAAGAGGAGCCGCGGCCGCGAACAGAGTTCGCCCAACCCACCTTTCCCAGGGAGTCAGTGGAAGGGCCCGGGCGGTGCGGTACCCACGTTCCGCGGGACTTACCCGGCCAACCCTTTCTCCTTGGTTTTGGAAGACGCCCTTCGTCTTCTACCAGTTTGGCCTGAATCCTAACTATTGCTACCTCCAAGTTTACGAATTTGCTTTCCTACAAAAAAAAAAAAGAAAGAAAGAAAGAGGGAAAGGAAAAACTCCTCTTTCCTTTCCCAAAGACGAGCATTTGGGCCTTAGCAACCCACCCAGGAAGAGCTTGTAAGCACTTCGAATTCGGCGCCCTTTCCCACATGGCTCCACCCCTTCCGGAAAGTAACTGTCCCCTCTCCCTGCTGCCACCGCCCTCGCAGTTTTCCAGGCTCCCAGCCGGGCGGCTCTACGCATGCGTGGACTGTTGCCGGGTCCGCCCAGCTATCTTCCCTTTCATTTAGGCAAACCGCCCGCCCCCTCGCTCCCGCGTCTAGCCGACGCCAGGCCCTACCGACGTCCCCGTCCGCTCGGGGGCATCTTCCGGCCCCGCCGCTTGGGATCTGGAGGCGCGAAAACTCCAAACAGCGCACGCGCGGGCAGAGTCCGGCGGGGAGGGGGGGCGTGGCGCAGGCGCGGACTGTTAGCGGTGGGCGCCGGGGCGGCCCGTCTCATGCCTTCTCCCGCGGCCGGCGCGCGGTTCCCGGCGGGCCAACCGCCGTCAGCCGAGGCCAAGACGCCCCCAGGGTGGCCTCAGCCTCCGGCGGCAGCGCGACGACCCCGCCGATCGGCTGCCTAGGGGAGACTTCGGCTTGTTCGAGGTAAGCTGAGTGCGCACTGACGCTCTCCGTTGCTTCGGATCCATCCCTCAGTCGCTGCCCCTTTAGCTGGCGCCCCCAGCGCACCTGGTGGTGGCCGGGTCCTCCGGGCTGCGGCGGTGTCTAGAGCTGGCCGGCTGGCCGGCGGGAATCTTCGCCCCCTCTCTGCAGTCGGCACAGGTCCTACCAGCCTCGGGAAACTTGCGGGTCTGAGCTGGGCCCCTTCCTCGGGCGGCCCCGGCGGCGAGGCTTGCGAATCTTGGCGCCCGGCCCTTAATGGCCCGGAGGCTTTGATGGGCAGCTTGAGGGGGAGGATCGGAGTAAGGGGGTGAGGTTGGGTTGGGACAGTGAGATCCTACAATAAATCTGATGATACCTCATCAGCAGCAACTTAAGTATGTTTACGAGATATACAAATATCACTTGAATTGGGTTTATTGTTAAATCCCAGTTTCATGAAAACGCAACATGTATTACCTGGAGGTTTTATGATGGCATTTTTTTCTCCGTTTTCTTGTGGAAATCAGCCTGGAGAAGAAGCCCAACTGGAAATTGCGGAACACGGGATTAAAGGGTAAAGAGCTGTAGGACACCAGTAGGCTCTTATTTCCTAGAAAGAACAACTATTTGATGTTTAAGCCCCCAGGACACAATTTAGGTGAGCGCGTATTACTCTATGTATATTTCATGAGTAGATTAAGTGCGCGTGTTTAAAAGACAAGCTATTCTGGAATATATATTCCAGAGAGAGGTCCAAATTCCCTTTTCGATGGCTGCTGTGTCGTCTTTTTAAACGGTCCAAATATGCAATGAACTGCAGATACTTTCATGGGTGTGTAGGTGGGAGGGAGCGTATTAGAACTTTCACTAAGATTTACTTTTTCTCATTCTGTTACTGTGCAAAATATTCAGAGTAATAACTTCACGTTGGAATGTGTATTCAGAATTTCTTTTCCTGAATGGGAGTAAGTACAAAAAGTTTGGAGATCACTAGAATATTGATTTAGACGGATGTTTTTGTATAAGAACCAGTGTTGTGTGTCCCTGGGCCAGTAGGTACAACCTCTTTAAGTTTCAGTTCTTATTCTGTAGTTGGGGAGAAGAGCATCCTACTTAACTCAGGATTCTTAAATACGTTGTGGGGGAGGGTAGAGGGAACGTTACATCTCTGTACCTCTCTCTACATAATGAGTATAAAGCATTGTAGTATTGAGCCTGGCAAAAAGTCAGTACAAATGGCATATTAAAGTTGTTAGGGTGAAAAAACAGGTTTCATTCCCCAAAGGTTTATTTTACTGACTCCCTAGATACAGAATTATATATAAAACTTGTCTAAATCTTGACTATCATTTTTAGACCTACGTTAGGAAAATTAATCAAAGCTGTATTTAGCTTACTTTCAGGAATAAATAAACAAGCAACTCAAAATGTTAGCAGAATTGTGTGCATTACATTTAAGGCGTAATTAAATGTCACAGCTCTATAAACACAGGCTAGTAAGTCCAGATGAGTGAGAGTCAAGTGTAATAGCTTATGTTAACATTCTTGATGTTAGCAATTTTGATTCACTAGTTAATGAGATAACATCTTTACTCACACAATATACTTTCCCTGGGACCAAATTTGAAATAGTTTTTGTAGCTTTCTTACCTCTACCCCCAAATCCATCTGTACTACAAAGTATATTTTACTGCCTTGTGGCCTCTCCATATCAGTATCCTTGAAGCACTTCAAACTCAGTGTTTTCAAACAAAAGTATTATTTATCCTCCCTCCTTGCCAAACCTGCTCTGTTTATAATGGCAGTTAGCATTAAGTGTAAAGATTATTTCTGAAAATTAAACACAAAATGAAATTTTATAAAGTTAGCCCAAAGTTTTAATTGGCTAATCACAATAAAATATTTTTTGTAGATTTATACATTAACAAAGAATAGACAAGAATATGAACACATTGAGTCAATTTCACTGCCTAAAAACTATTAAATTGGCAAATAAACTCAGTTGTTCATGCCAAGAGGAACCTGGGCATTAAAGAGGTTTGATTTTGGGTTTTGACAAACTTAGGTTTTGATCTGGACTCTGTTAAATTTTAGCTACATAAGCTTGGGCAAATGTATTTCCCTTGAGCCTCAATATGCCCTTTGAAAGTAAGGACAATACTTAAAATGATGCTGAGGATTAAAAGAAATGAAGTGTTTATCTGAAAGTTTAAGCATGTAGTAAGTAGTCACTCAACTAATGTTAATTCTCCTTTCCCACTTAGCCAGCCTTTTTAATCTCTTGGTTTTTATTCAGAGCCCCTCATCCTTTAGAGATTGGTCTTTTCTACCCTTATTCTCATTCCCTGTGTTTCATCTGTCCTCTATATTGAGGCCACAGGGATGTTTTTAAAACACGAATCCAAGTGTTCAAATTTTATCTGAAATACTGTGCTTAGGACTTATCAGTTTTTCTTATCAAGAACTGTTTGATGGATGGATTTATGAATTTTTTCCTTTAAATATTCATTTATCTATTGCATCTCATCTAATTTCATGCTATATTCCAGGCAATGTACTTAATTAACTCAGTACATTGGAAGTGAGGTTGTTTCATGCACAATGAATATGTCCGTGGTGGTAGGAGGAGTGGAATTGGGAGTAAATAAACATAAACACAATCACAGCAGATTCAGAAGTAGTAGTGATTTGCCTTTTTTTAGCCAGTATTTTTGATTGATAATTCCAGTTCAGTTATGTCTATTGTCACTTCTTCTAGTCCCTACTTTGATAATAACGAGAAGTATGATTTATTAGATGTTCACAATAAAATTTAAAATAAAAAAATCTGTAATTTAAAAAATTTAAAAAATTTGTTTTATTTGTTAAAATGCATTTGATCTATGTCAGATTTCCTATGCACATATTTGGTATTGTTATATGAACATTTGGTTATTAGTTTTTCTTCTTGAATATATGTTTTATTAGTAATCTGCATATTTGTTACTGTTCTGCTCTGATGGAGTTTGCTTCCTGTGAAGGAGAAATACGTTCCTTAATTCTGATTTTTTTTATTGTAAATAAATATTAAAAACTATGAAGAGCTTTACAGATGTATTGAAAATATCAGGGAGCTTTTTTCCTCTTTTTGTGTATTCCAGAATATTTAAAATTGTTTTTCTTTGCATCTGTTTATGCCTCTCTGGCCTGTTGGAGACAATTTTACCATTTTAACTGGTAACTCTTAGGACATTCACATATTTTTAAAAATTCATTATCATTAAATTACAAAGTGATTCATGTTTTAAAAGGTAGGATTCCTCAGTGTCTGTTAGATGCAGGTTACCACGGCAACCGAATCCCAAGCCCAAGCACAGCAAATAAAAACCATCCTCGTTATGTAGCACAGTATCTTCTGTGTAGTGTAGAATCTCACATTCATTGTAAGAAGCTTATCACATTTACCTTTGTGTCCCTCCCTCCCCCCAGTTTTACTTGAAAAACTGCCATCTTCTAATGGTAAGATACTAATATCAGTAGCTGATGACTGAGTGCCTGCTAACTGCAAGATCATGTACAGGCATTTGTAAAAACAGGTCTGAAAAAAAATGTCTGAAAGGGCAGTTAGTGTTGGGAAAACCAAAAAGTAATGCCTCCTCTTTGCTCTTCTATAAAAAATAAATAGAATAAGTCCTCAATAAGTTAATTTCTGTCCAGTAATTGAGAAGGGAACAGAGGATGGGTGGGAAAGAAGAGTTAGGAAGATAATGGCCTGGTGGTATTTTAGGATATTTAAATTAACGATAAGCTGAAACGAATTCATTTTTAATATTAAATAATTTGAGAAGTATGTTTGATTTTAAAATTTTGATGTGTGTAAAATTTAAAATAGACATTTATTTGTAAAAAGGATGTTGAATATTACATAATATGACTAATGCTAATATTGTCTTAAAAGGCATTTATTTAGATTAAATGTCCTTTGGATGCTAACTAATATACCTTTAAATGATACATTTTGATTTATGATAAATTAGGTTCGTCATTGCATTCAGGATAGGATAAAGTCTGAGTTTTTAAACGTTGATTACAACAGTTCTCAAACTTTAATGCACTTTTGAATTACCTGAGAGCTTGTTAAAATGAAGGTTCTAATTCATTTGGTTTAGGGTAGGGCCTGAGATTCTGCATATCTAACAGATTTCTAGGAGAAGTAGGTGATACTTGCTGGTCCTTGGACTATACTTAGATTATCAAGTCTACAAGTCATTCTGTGGTTGGCAGCTTCTCTGCTAGCTGTGCCTTATAATTTATGGCACTGTGCCGTGGACGTGCTTATCATATCTCCTAGAGCAGCAGTTTGGTCCAGGGAACCTTGAGATTCTTTCAAAGGGTCTGCAAGGTCAAACTGCTTTCATAAATTGTAAGATGTTATTTGCCTTTTTCATTCTCATTCACTTAGGAATATGTAGTTGAGTTTTGCAGGCGTTACACAGTGTGATGATGTCATCTCTTAGATGACTGATAGAATGCATAATTGTGTATTCTTTAAGTTTCTCAGTTTAATTTATAGTATGGTAAATACTGATAGACATAAACACAAAGCTCTTTGAGGTCCATAGTACTTTTTAAGAGACCGCAAACGTTTTGAGAACTGCTGCTGTATGATATTGGGCTATGGACACAGAAGCTGAAGTCTAGAACTTTGCCAGAGCTCTTCCCTTTAGCTGCCGTGACTTCAAGTCCAGAGAAGAAGAATCAGTTCCCCACATGTTCTCCATGCACACTTAGGGGGTGGCCTCCTCACTTTTCTGGGCAGTGGTAAAAAGCCTTCTCTGACAGCACCCAAGGGTGAGCAGGATAAAGTAGCACCCTATTACTGCCTGGTGGGGGTAGACATCTAGGCTCTCCAGGTGGTGGTTCTCCAGTTGCGCCATTATCATGGTTCCTCACATAGTGTACTAGCCTTTTCTGACACTAGCCCAGTTGGGATGTTGAGATGCCTCCGTATAGCCGAACAGGGTAGAAGTCCAGGCTACCCACTTGGCCTTTGCTGGTGTGCAGGGTGGAGGGATGGGGACACTGATAGGAGGAGGGGCCACAGTTTTTTCAATGGTAGTTGGCTGGAGTAGGGCAATTGTCTGAACATTTTTGATTTCATATGTCATGGATTTTTCTCCATTTAATCAGCAAATAGTTATTAGGTAACTATCATATGGGGCGTTAAACACATTCTAAAGAGAGAAAACCACAATAAAGTAGTCATAACATTTAATTTGTAATCACAGATTGTCAGCTTTGAATTGAGGTGCAGTATTCACATGCTTAGAAAATCTTGTTTAATTTTAAATACAGTAGTTTTCTAGGTATAAATTTTATAGTATATTGGTAAAAAATAGACAATCATGGACTATTACTTTAGGGAACTGTTAAAGGAAACAATTGGTGCTAGTCAGGACTGCTTCCAAACGGGCTTCTTGTTAAAAATAAGTTTTAGCTAATTAACTATTACCTTATAATTTGTAAAACTTAGATGGAATAATTTCAGAAGGCATCATATCATCTCTATTAATAGATCTAGGAAACTAGAAACCACAGTTTTTACAGATAAAATCTTTTACCTTTTGTTAGTTTAGGATTCAAAATACTTAAGTAGGCCCATATAAATAAAATCTTGGCCATGAATAAGTCTAAAATAAAGTTAACTATATGCATCTATACTGCATATTCTAATTCTTTTTTAATAGCACAAATTTATTATCTTATACTTCCTTAGGTTAGAAGTCTGATATATCTCCCTGGGCTAAAATCAAGGTGGCTGTGTGTTGAGTTTCTTTCTGGAGCTTCCAGGGGAGAATCTGTTTCCTTTCTAGCCTTGAGTGGCTACCTGCATTCTTTGGCTCATGGCCCCCTTCCTTCATGCAAATGATATATATATATTTTTTAAGATGAAAATGAATGAATGGACATTGTACTTAAACTTTGTCTTATTTTGCTATACCTGATTTGTGTAGGATGCTATACCTATGTATTTCATTGTTACTATAATATTTGTTCAGACCTGATGGCCAAAAGAAAGGAAGAAAATTTCTTCTCTCCTGACAATGCCAAAAGACCAAGACAAGAAGAGTTGGAGGATTTCGATAAAGATGGCGACGAAGATGAATGTACAGTTCCTTTCACTAGTGGTACCTCTTCTTTGGTAAGTGCAACATTACAAAATTAGTGTTTTTAAGTGGCATGTTTCTCATGTCTGGTTTATATGTCATATTCTTGATAATCCACTATCAGGAAAAGCATGATTTTTACAAAGCTGAGGTAAAATAACCTAATTTTCAAGTTTATGTTAATTATTAGGAAAAATCGTAGAAAATAGTGAAACAGCTAGTTCTTTGGAAAGATCAATAAAATTGACAAACTTCTAATAAGACTGACAAAGGGATAAAGACAGAAGACACAAATTACCAACGTTAGGAATGAAGCAGTGGTGTGACCACAGACCCTTCAAACATCCAAAGAATATTAAGGGAATACTGTTAACAGCTAGCTCTACACACAAATTTGGCAGCTTAGATGGAGTGAACCAGTTCTTCAGAAAACACAGACTACCACAACTCATCCACTGTGAGTCACTCTACAACTCTACCAAATGTTTAAAGAAGAATTGATCGGGATCCTACAGTCTGTTCTAGAAATAGTAGAAGAGAAAACACTTTCTAAGTCATTATCTTGATAATCTAAATGAGACAAAGGGAGTACTGCAGAAGCAAACTATAGACCAATATATCTCATGGGATGGATGCAAAAATCCCTAACACAGTATAAGCAAATAGAATTCCGCAATAAATAAGAAGTATACACTAGTGTTTATGTAGGATTTATTCTAGGCATGTAAGCCTGGCTCAAGATCTGAAAAATCAGTGTAATTTGCCATTTTAATAGGCTAAAGAAGAAAAATCACATCATATCTCAATGCATAAGAAGCATTTGACAAAATTCAACACCCATTCATGACAAAAATTCTCAGAAAAGTAGTAATAGAGAGGAACTTCCTTAACATGATAAGGAATATTGAAAAAACCAACAACTAAAATTATATTTAATGGTGATACACCGAAATGTCTTTTACCTAAGGTTAAGAATAAGGCAAGGTTGTCTGCTCTCATCACTTATTTAATATACTACTGGGAATCCAGCCAGTGTAATACAGCAAGGAAACAAAAGGTATACAGGTTGGAAAATAAAATTGTCCCTATTTGCAAGTGACCTGATTATCTACATAGAAAATCTCAAGAAAGCTACAAAATTTCTTAGATCTAGTGTGTTCAGCAAATTTTCAGGATACAAGATAAAGTTAAAAAAAAAAAGTCAATTATTACATACTGGCATTGAACACAAGGACATTGAAATTCAAAATACCATACCATATACAGTTGCTCAATAAATATGAAATACTTAGGTCTAAATCAAAATAAATACAAGATTTGTATGCTGAAAACTACATAATGCTGATGAAAGAAATCTAAGATGACCTAAAAACAGAGACACACTGTGTTCGTGGATTGAAAGACACCACATAGAAAATATGTCAGTTTTGCCTTAAAATGATATGCAGGTTTAATGCAGTAACTTTCAAAATGCTGGCACGATTTTTTTATAGATACAAACAACTTTGTATGAAAAGGCAAAAGAACTAAAATAGCTAAAACATTTTTGAAAAAGAAGAATAAAGTGGGAGGAATCAGTCTACTCAATTTCAGGAGATACAGCGTACCTGCAGTAATCAAGACCATGTGGAATTGATGTGGAGATAGACATATCTATCAGTGGAACAGAACAGAGAATCTAGAAATAGACCCACACAAACAGTGACAAATTTATTTTTGACAAAGGTGAAAAGGCAATCCAATGGAGAAGAGACAGTCTTTCCAACAAATGGTACTGGAGCAATTAGATATCCATAGGCAAAAAAGAACAAATGAATCTCAACCTAAGTCTCACACCTTATGCAAAAATTAACTCAAAACAGGGTAACAGACTTAACTGGAAAATATAAGACTATACTACTTTCAGAAACGAACATAGAAATCTAGGTTTAGATAAAGAATCCTTAGGCTTGACACTAAATGCACACATCATACATAAAATGATACATTGATAAGTTGGATCTCATCAAAATTAAAAAACTTTGCCCTGGAAAAGACCCTGTTAAGGTGAAAAGTCAAGCTACAGACTAAGAGAAAACATTTGCAAACCATATACCCAAAAATGTCCTAGTATCTTGATTAAAGAACTCTCAAAATTCAGCAGTTTAAAGCAAGTAATCCAACTTGAGAACAGACAGAAGTCATAGACTAAAGAGGAGGATATACAGATGGCAAACACCCACGTGACATGATGTAATTTGATATTTAACTACTTACTATATAACTGAGCATTCATCCCAGAGAAATGATTTATCTTCATGAAAAAACCTGTACATGCTTTTCTAGCAGCATTATTTCTAATAGCTGTAAGCTGAAACAACCCAAATGTCATCCAGTGAGTGAAGGGTTGAACATGTTATAGTACATCCATACCACAAAATACTACTTATCAATAAAAAGCAGGGAACTGCAACAATAGACAGTTACTCTGAGTGAAAAAAGGCAATGTCAAAAGGTTACATTCTGTATGATTTCATTTGTGTAACATTTTTGAAATGACAAATGTTGCAGAAATGGAGAACAGATTAGTGGGGTAGAGGCTAAGGAGGGGATGGATTAGGTGGGATATGCCTTTGGTTTTAGGGGCAACTTGAGGAATGCTTGTGATGGAAACATGTCTCTTGACTATACCAATGTCAGTGTCCTGGCTGTGATTTTGTACTATGGTTTTCAGTGTTACTTTAGGCAGAAACTGGGTAAAGGATTCACAGACCTGCATCTGAATCTATAATTAGATTAAACAATAAATTTATTTTTTAAAAGTCTTCAACCATGATTTCCAGTATTATGTTCATACAAGGATATTATGTCTTCTGCTATTTAAGAAGGTGGTGTTCAGACAGGAGCCAGGAAGTTTTTAAAGAAACTATTTAAAAAGCTGGAGACATTAAGTGTTCTTGAAAAAAATTGAAGTTTTGGTAAAATATGGTTGAGTTACTTTGGTATTTCTAACTACAAAGTGACCATGATGTGCCAAACTCATGATTAAAACTTTTATATACCTTCTCTAACTATCATATATTCCTTATATATTGCCAAAGTCATCCAGTTATCATATCAAAGTGACAGGTACAGAAAGCCACAAGAAAAATAGGCTTTACCTTTTAAGAATGTGTGCTCCCCTTTTTGAATTATCTATAGCTCATGCAGTATTCAAACCATGGCTGGCTAATCATCATTCAGGGTTGCTCTAAATATGGTTCTGTATTTTACAGGAAGGTTCACTACACCAGTGGTTCTCATCCAGGGGGGATTTTGTTCCCCCAGGAGACATTTAGCAATGTCCAGATACATTTTTGGTTGTCACAACTGTTGGGTGGGTGTGTACTACTGGCACCTTGTGGATGGAGGGTAGGGAAGCTATTTACTCATCCTGCAGTGCTCAAGACAGCCCCACCAACAAAAAATTATCTGGTCAAATTGTTAGCATTGTCCATATTAAGAAACCTTGTGATACACTTCTTTGATCCTTTAAGAACTTAGAATGAGTGGTTGCTCATATAAGTTTCCCATTTAATTTCATCTTACTCAGTGATTGAAGTTACTGAAGTTCACTTTTTCATTAGTAACTTTCTCCTGCCAGCAAACACTTGGATGATTATAATAAGTGAATTAGATAAAATAATTGTGTTCTTTCATTGTTTTTTATTAATAGACTGCAGCAGAAGTTGGAATAATTGAGAGTATTCAGCTAAGAAACTTCATGTGTCATTCTATGCTTGGACCCTTTAAATTTGGTTCTAATGTCAACTTTATTGTTGGCAACAATGGAAGTAAGTGCTTTTGCCTTTCTGTTTATTTGACTTTGAAGAATTCTTTGAGATTAGAATATATTCACATTTTTAAATAGGTGACTGTTATTGCTAATAAATCTAAGTTTTAGATCTATAACTTATGGTCATGAGTATTTTCAGTATTTGCTGCCAGTCTATAAGAAACAATAAACTCTAGTTTCATTATTTATGCAATAGGGTATCTTTTGAGTCAATTCACCTTGCAGTTCATACTGTTCATACTGTAGAAGAGTGGATAAGCTATTCCCATTGCTATTGAGGCAGTCTTGTGTCTTACATCTATTACAAGTTTTAATAGGACATAAATATGGTACCATGGGAATTGAAACACGAAAGAAACTTAATTCTCATTATTGTGGTCAATGAAGCTTTACAAGAAGGTGGTATTTATGGTTGTACTTGGATGAAAATTATTGATACTTTACATTTACTGGGAAAGAAGAAGCTGAGGTGTTCTAGGCCAAGATTGCTCATCAGCATAGTTTTGGAGAGGTAGACGCACGTATGGACAATGGTGAACAACTGTAGGTGGCCTTACCATATACAGCGATACCCCAGAGTCACTGTAGGTGATACTGGTGAGCATCTTGAATGCCATGATAAAGATTTTGGTGTTTTATTCCGAAGTCAGTGGGGTGCCAAAGTTTTTGAGTAAATGAATGATGTGGTCAAGATTTGTTAAACAAACTGGCCACATTGTGGAGGATGGATTAAAAATGAGGAGACAAAGGAGTTAGAAAGACCAGTTCAGCAGCTTTTGTGATAGACAAGCCAGGCGTGAGCTGTTGACAAGCTTGAATGAGCCAGTACACAGGGAGAAGGGGCTTGCTGGAGTCTACAGCTGGTGACACGCCGCAGTGTGGAGCTGGGTGTGTGGCTCCACAGCGTGTTTAGTTGTTTGTTTTCCTTCCTTTGTATTCAGTCAAGAGGAAAGTATTTTCAAAAGGAGAGAAAGGACATAGGAATCAGGTTTACCGGGAGATCATGTAGGACTTGAAGTAGAGAAGGACTGGTGAACTGTGCAGTTAGGTCATTCCTTTTTCTTTTTTACTTCTGAAATAGTGACTTTTCTTTTTTATAAATAAAACTTAACACAAGAAGAAATAATGCAAGTAGTGGAGTGAATTTGGAAAGGCAATGAATTTGGAAATGATGAAAAAGGAGAGAAGAAAATAGGGACTTGAAAGGTATTTTAGGAACTAAACAGAGTTAACTAGTGGTGTATTTGGGGTATATTTTAGATGATGGGCTGATAAGAGTTGATTGAATTGGTTGATCATGGAGCACAAAATGGTTACGTTATTCTGGGTTATGTTAACAGATTTTGGAGTTTAGGTTTATGATATTTTATGTCTATTAGGGTAAAAAGTACACTTTTCAAAGTGTCAAAATGTTGTATAAAAACTATATGACTGATAATTTTTTTATATTTAAGTTCATTCATTCATTCAACAAATACACGAATGCTATTATGGGCTGATATGGGAGATACAGCATTGAATAAAACACACAACATTCCTGTCCCTGTGGAGCTTGCATTTAAGGGTTATTAAAAATAGTCCTAACTTCTGAGAATTCGTGGGAAAAGTAAATTGTAATTAGAATAATAAAAATCAGATGAATTAAGCATACATGTGTAATTAGAAAAATAAGTTCATTTAATAAGTGGATGGACCAAGATGATAAATGGGATTTTTTAGGCTGGAAAGATACCAACCATTTTTTCCATTTCTTTATTTTTGGCAAAGAATTTGGTTCCTCAAATGTACTAATTTTTTTCTAATAACAGCAGCTAAGTAATTCATGGTGCAACTTTTTTTTAAAGCTTATTGCTCTGGCACTGGAAGAAAATTATAATTAAAATATAACCTTTCACGACTAGAACTAATTCATATTTTCATTCAGAAATCTTTTTACATCAGATTGTGGGAGTCAAACTTTTCTTTCTCTCTTTCTCTAATGAATGTGATTTCTTCAACATCTGTTTCTTTAGGTGGGAAGAGTGCAGTACTCACAGCTCTCATAGTTGGTCTTGGTGGAAAAGCAGTTGCTACTAATAGAGGATCTTCTCTAAAAGGCTTTGTGAAAGATGGACAGAAGTAAGTGTTGGCTTTCTACATGTACTTTTCAATTCCTTGGTAAAAAGCAGCTGTTTTAGATTCCTAATTGATGTAGATGTTATGGGACATGAATTGGCTTCCCAAAACTGGAGCAGAGGTGTCCTATCATTTCATTCCTTCCTTTTGTTCCCTGTTGGCAGCATGGCCCACTGTTGTCTGTTACTCTCTCCAGTTAGGAAGCTTGTATAAATTACTGCTTTGTCCATCTGCACTGTTGTTTCTGCTACCTTTCTGGAAGAACAAGCAGGGATACATCTCTGTACATCTTTTTAAAGGAATATTTATTAACAGGATTTTCCTGGCTCTTGACTCAAACCAGCTTCAGCACACCCACGTTGATAAGACATGGGTAATAGCAGAGTCAGTGACCAGCCATGGAGTTCCTGCAAACAATTTCTGCCTCTAGCTCTTTAAGAATTCCAAAGAAGTATTTCAACTCTGTTCCAGACTCTATATTCTTTACCCAGGTGATTTACCAAAGAGTTGGATTGGAGGACCACAATCACAAGTCTATCTGGTCCATCTTGACCCTTGGTGAATGGTCATGTGACACCCTCCTTGACTCTATGACTATATTTCTTTTTGTTGTTGCTTGCTTTCATAGAAATAGCTATTAATTGCCCTATTTGCATCATCATGGACTCATGGCTTTTTGCTTATTAGGAGCAGACTTATCTCCTTATTTTTTCTTTAATAATGCCTCAGATGACTGTGAAGAGATCCTGGTTTCTCCTAACAATTAGATGTTCCAAACTTGTCATACTAGCTCCAGAGAGGGGTTACTCTCCCAGCTCATTTCTCTTTTGCACTACCAGTCCCAGAACTCCTGGAACTTTGATAATTAACAGTGATCCCTTTTTTTTTTAATCATATAATAGACTTTCCTTCTGCTCAGTGTTATGTCCATTTAACTTTTCCCATTACTAAAGAATAGAATAGGGGCAGGATGTGAATCAGGATTGCAGGTTTCTTATGTGTCTCTAGGAAACCTTAGGAATCTTTACCCTAAACCAGGGATTCAAGTTGACTCAGGAGAAGCTGGGAAAAGATACACAGAAAATCATTTCCCATCCTGTATGGCCTCGGAAAAGAACTGTTTGGTAACAGTTTGCCGGCATATTTTTGGCATATTTTTCTATCTCTGCTTATCTTGTGTCCCAACCCAGAGGTCTTTTCCCCCACAGTCCCCAACCAAACTGTCTGAAGCCAAAACTTAGTTATTTTAACAATTTTAAGTTATGGCCCCAACTCCTTAGTTGTCTAAATCATCATGTAGTCTACTTAGCAAGGTAACATTGATATTTCAAAACGAAATTTTTTCTGTATTATTAAATGTTTTATTTCAATTAAATATTTTTTCCATTTGGGAAGAACCTGAACTAAGGCAGAAACTTTTTTTCTGAGACTTTTCCTTCTAAATACTATTAAAAGAAAGAAAGAAAACACTAACGTTTGAGGACACAGCTGTTTAAAATATAAACAGTTAATAATAGTTAAAAGCTTTAACCTGAGCTCTGTCTCCTTTTTACTGACCTGAAACACCTCCTCCAAACCCATTACTATTTCTCTTGTCATCCCCTTCCTCACTTAAAACATTTCGTATCTGTAAAATTCACCTTATTTTACAGTTCTGATTCTGCATCACTTTTTTACAGAATCGGTTCGTTGAACTTTTCAGCCCACCCTTAGTCTGCTGCATCTTTAATCTATGAGGCTGCTACATTTTGCCTGAAGAATGTCTGTCCGTCTGGCCCAGGGCTGAGGGAGTCCTGAGGACCCTCTCCTCCCCTCATGTCCAGTATTACACTCTCCAGTTGTGACCTTTGGGCTTTGGGCTGCCTTTGTTGAGGGTTCTGACACTCCTTAGAGATGCTTGCTTTTCTAGGGTTAGGAGAAGCCAGACAGCTATGCCTTAAGACACTTTTCCTGGGCTCAGCCCTGTAATTGGCCCCAACTCTTGAATGAGGGACGGTGAATGAATTCTAATAGATCTCCTGCCATGAAAAATAACCTCTCTCAGTGCCCCAAGGTCTCATGCTCCTAGCTATTTGGGTTCTTGAACATGTTCAGTTCACTGTTTCCTTCCCTTGCCTCCCCAAACGAGCCCTGGTGCCACTGGGATCTTTGCACCAGTCCGTTTTTGACATCAGCTCTGCCTTGGGTTATGGGGAGGTGAGAACTCAATACTCCTGCTGGATGTTCCTGATTTGTTTAGTCAGGGTTACAGAAGTTAGTCCAGATGAACTGGCTATCCAGGGTAAGAGCAAATGCATCCTATTTTTATACAGCATTTTCCTTGTTCCCATCTGTGTGCTGCTGCCAGTTAATCTCTGTGCAGAGAGATTCTTCTGGAGTGGAGAAAGAAGCCAGTCTTACAGTGGCCCTGCTTATTCGTGTTGTCATTCTGAAAGGACTCTCATTGAGAGGCTGTCTTTTCACTTAAAGGGTCTCTTGTATTTAGAGAGATTGGGCTCTTTGGCTCTTGACCCAAATTCAGCCCGCCACATCTGTGTGGTGTGGACACAGCAGTTACTGTCCAGCTCAGTTGCCCCTGTTACCTTGCTCAGGTTTTTTGAGCAGTTAGTATGATGCTTTTCTCTTAAGCCTTAATTGTTTCAATAACTTGCCTTTTTTATAGTCACTAAATTCATATAGCAACAGGATACCAGTGCCTCCAAAGTTCTCACAATACTAAAGAGAGCTTTCAGATGCAAGGAGTAGCTGGGAATGAAAATAATAAAGTAGGTATTTGCTAATCAAGGGAGATGTTTGATAATTCAGAGAGCAAATGTATGTAGTCACTTTATTTTTAAAATGTTTTCATGAGATATATTTATTTACTACTAGATAATCATACTAGTTAATAAAATGTAATATTTTTTGTTCCATTTTGTAGGCCAGCTGCCCTTCCCCATCATACTTAGTTATAGTTAATGACTTTCAACCGTGGCTGTTCACTAGAATGAACTTGGGAAGCTTTTAAAAATCCCATTAATTACAACTTTTTAGGAGCATATCTATCTTTTAGGTACTTCTGATTAAAATGCACACACACCAACCCACTGAGGATAGCTTTAAGGTAGGAGATTCATCATAAAGATTCAGGGATGTAGATCTTAGAAGCTGCGGGGAGGAAGTACATTGGGTCTCATGAGTGACCAGAAATGAGAGACTTCAGAACCGAGTATCTTGTGTCTCTGGGTCTGTTCTTTTTGTGTCCCTGGCTCTCTCTTTGTGTCTTTTTGTCTGCTCCGGGCCTGTCTCCCTCTCCCTTCCTTTGTGTCCATGCTGCTGTCTTCCTCTGTGCCTCCCCCCTTGCCCTTACTCACCGGGCTGGACTCGTGTTCTCCTCTTTCCTCCCTCACGGGACAGGTGTGCAGTGTGTGAATGTGCTGCTTGTGTTGTTTCTGCAGTGTGTGAGTTCTTTCTCAGTATCTAGCTGAGTCTTTGTTACTCTGTGTCTTTGTGAGGTTAGACATGTAGATCTTATTTTCTTAGTCTTTGGGGCTGGGTGGGTAAGAAAATGCTCTTGTGTTTGTGTTTCTGATTCACAGTGTATCTGTGGGTATGTCTACCGGTGTGTTCGGGTGGCGTCCCAAGAACTTACCTGTTTTTTGTTCTTGCTTCTCTCTGTAGTCTCGCAGACTTTCCACTTGCTCATAAGGATGTAGTGCCCCAAACTGGTTTCTCTAGTCCCCAGAGGCCTTATAATTTTGTAGCTCCAAAGAACCACCATCTCTCGACTTGGCTGTGTCTTAATTTGATTTTGTTTTAGAAACTTTTCATTTGAAATGATTTTAGATTAACAGAAGTGTTAAATACAGAGTACAGTTTCCTATATACCCTTCATCCAGTTTCCCTTAATGTTGACATCTTAAATAACTATGATGCTTTTCTCAAAGCTGTGCAGTTGACATTGGTGTAATATAACTGAACTTGTTTGGATTTTACCACTTTTTCTTAATTGGAATTTTTAAAGATGAGACTTCCCTCAGTCAGTGTCACATTTCTCTGTTTAGCTCAATCCCTGCAGGACAGGTTGGGGACTGATAAGGTTGCGGAGCCCGCTCTGTCTCCTAGGGCACTTGCAAAGAGGAGGGTGGGTCAGCAGGACCTGAGCAAACCCTCCCAAGTATCTGCCATCACACTGTTTACAGTGGAGCTAGCTTATGTTGAGTATTTTTTCCTACAATTCCTGCAAATGGGAACAATTTTGGAATATGATAAATTTGTTCTATTCATGATTTCACTTAATTACCAATTAAAGCAGTTTTGTATTAAAGGACTTCTGCATTTTGGCAGATGTTCATATGACCAAGAAAAAAATACTTCCAGCTTTTATGTTTATGAAAATTATGAGTATGTATTTATTAATTTACTTCATTAACATTTTTTATTTGGTTTTCTATCAAGTTTAATACAAGTTAGAGTAGAAAAGTCAAGATTTTTTTCCCCATGTAGTAAAATATGCATGGATAAATGTTTTAAACTTCTAAGTCTCTCAAAACAATTCTTTTGTAAAACTAGTGAAGCTTTAAGAAATTTTGAGTTGTGCATTTCTTGATATCAAATACTTTTTCTTTATTGCCAAGTCACTGAATTACTAAGGTAGCTTTCTTTGAGTCTTAGAAAATGTAATAATTTCATGAGCTCTTAGAAAATGTAATTATTTCACTATAATTCTTCCTTTGTCATCCTTAAAGGCTTGCTGTCAGCATGACACTGTTAAATATTTCAGAGTAGTCAGGCAGCATTGTATCAGCCACACATTGCTTATAGGGAGACATGTAACTTAGCTACATGATCTGAACCAACCAAAACTTTAATGTCTTCTGTTCAAACATTTCTGTTATGAATAGAATAGTTAGTTATTTTTTATAAAGCTTCTCTTACTCTCAACTTAATTTTTTTCTTAGGTATGTATCTTTAACATTATTCTCTAATAGCCTGTCAGTCATGAACAGCTAGTGTCAGGCTACCTTTCAAATGAATTAGCCAGATTACTTGTAGGTTTTGGAAGTCAGAGTAACCTGGTACTGTAGTTACACTGTATCTCTATGTGGCTTTCTGCTTCAGCTCTGCAGATGTCTCCATAACACTGAGGAACAGAGGAGATGACGCCTACAGAGCAAATGCCTACGGTAACTCTATAATCGTGCAGCAGCGCATCAGCGTGGATGGAAGTCGGTCTTACAAACTAAAAAGTGAAACAGGTTGGTTACAAATTTCTTCTCATTTCATATAAAATATAGTAGATGACCAGTTGAAAGGAGGGAAGCAATAATGTTGGTATTCACTGAAAAGGCTAGTCTTTGGAGACCTTGTAGAATGATGAGTTGGTTGCATGTGTGCACACATGTGTGTATACATACATTACATGTAGTTAGTAACCACAGGACATGCTGCAGCAGAACTAGGGTGAGCAGAATTTGGGTCTGTCTGAAACAGACTGTGCCATTTTGCTCTCCCTGCACATCTTTCCCCCCTGTAGTCTTGGTCACATGTGGGAAGAAATGGTTAGCAAAAGGTGGAAAAGGACATTCAAGAAGAGGAGGGGGTTGTTAAGAGTAACCGAGGAGGTAAGGGAATGTTCAGCTGTGGGAAGGAGAGATGTACTGTCGTGCCTCTGTGTGCTGCTTTCTCCTCCGTGCACTTGTGTCATGGTTAATATATCACCCCAGTTCGTTCAGATGTGTGTGTGTGTGTGTGTTCTGAATGATAAAATGAAAAGTAATCAGTACTGATATTTGTAAATAATTGCTCATTCTTTCTGTATTGTTGCCCTAGAAACAATCTGGTCATTTTATGTGTTTCTCTCAACTAGGTACTGTGGTTTCCACTAGGAAAGAAGAGCTGATTGCAATTCTTGATCATTTTAACATACAGGTAATGGCTAAATTTGTGCCTCAGGTTAACTAATGTAACTGAACTGATTACTTTTATTGTGATTTCATTTGTGGTGTAGAACTAAAATGGCCTTGTGGGAGTAAATTGACCTCAGAAAGAATGTAACTATTATTAGTGATGTTCCTTAAAATTTACAAATTTAACAGGAACTTTCAGTACATAACACCTTCAATTTAATAGAACATGTAGTCTATACCAGTCTATGTTAAAATTTGTTAATAAAGGCTATAAAGATTTTTTGTTTTCTGCTGTTCTAGTCAGAACAGCATCATAATTTCCTAAATTCAGTTGCTAAAATCTTTGAGAGAGGTGGCTTATGCTAGAAAAAAGCATTTCTTTATGTATTTCAGAGTTACTGATTGTAACTGTAGGAGATAGGCTTGAGTCCTGTTTGCCAAGATATTTGGATTGACTAGTTGGAAATAGGGCAGAGCATATACAGTCCTAGGACATTAGCACTGGAATTATCTCTGGAGGTCATCTAACCCAGACCCTTTATTCTGTAGGTGAGAGAGTAGGAGCTGGAAAAAAGTAAATCTGCACTTAGAGTTGTCAAGGCCTGGTTACTGGGAGAGCCTGGGTGGGGACCCAGGTATCCCTGTTTTGCTGTATATAGTGCTTTATCCGTCATACCACCCGGCCTTATTCCAGGAGTAAGAATGCCAAAACTAGTCACTAAGGAAAAAGAACAATTACAAGTCTGGTCTCTTTGGCAGTTTGGTTTAGAACAAAGCTGTCCAGGAGAAACGTCTGTGATGGTAGAAATATTCTGTATTTGCTTTCTGATGGGGTAGCCATTAGCCATGAATTGCTCTTGAGCACCTGAAATGTGTGACTGAGAAGTCGAAATTTTTAACTGTATTTAATTTTGCTTAAGTGTAAAGAGCCTCACATAGCTACTAGCTTACATACCAGACAACACAGGTTTAGAAAAAATAATTATTAAAATCTGGAGAAAAGCAGATACAAGTACATTTGAGATTAGAACACAAGACAATTTGTTAAGAAAAAAATCAGGAAAATCAGATTTTTTGGAATTTGTGGAATCATAGTGTTTGGGAGAATTTTGAAGGTCATCCAGTACAGCTGCCACGTACCATAACTACCCATAGCGGAATCTCCACCAGGTGCCCCTTCAGCAGATACTTGAGTGGACGGTAGTAGGCAAATCACCTCTGCCTGAGGCTTCTGATTCCTTCTGTGGACAGTTGTATTTATTAGAAAGTTTTTATCATATGAAAAGTTGAATAAAGCCTGTTTTTCTAAGCTCCCACTTTCTTAGGGAATGTAAAACTTACTTAATTCTCTTTTGGAATGCTTGAAGATAATTGTTATCCTAACCTCTTTAGTTCTCTTCTCATGGGACTCAAGTTCATTGATCAAAATACAGAAGGTCTAGAGCTGCACTACCAGTACAGTAACCGCTAAGCACATGTGGATATTGAGCACTTGAAATGTGCAGAGTCCAAACTGAGATGTCCTGTAGTGTGAAATACACACTGGAGATTTTGGAAATTTAATGCAGAGAAATAGCTAAATTTTTATATTGATTACATGGTAAAGTGATACTGTATTAGATACATTAGGTTAAACAAGTATTATTATAACTAATTTTTCCTGTTTATGTTTTTAATGTAGCTACTAGAAAATTTAAAATTATATGTGTGGTTTGCATTATATTTCCATTGGACAGTGCTGGTCTAGAATAACCTAGAGAGAGAAGAGGATTTAATGTATTTAAGTATTGATTATATTTGTCCTTCATGTCTCCCCTTCTTACCCTTTTCTGACTGCCTTTTGCCTGATCCAGGGTCTTGGACAGGTAAAGCTACAAGATTCTTAAGTAATCCCTAGAGTAATATAGAAACGAGGAACCAAATTATTAATTAAAAAGATGTATAGAAAAATATAAACTCTGGTGAAGCTTTTAATCCAGAGCTGGTAGTAAAGTGTCATTCAGGCTACTGCAGTAGGTCTTTCAAGAAGTCAGATGATCAGTGGAAAGGTTAGGATGGAGGGCAGACCTTGCAAAACAGGTGTGGCAGTCAGAATCTGATGTTTCTTTATACCTTAACTTTATTAATGTTTTTTATTATTTTAGAAGACCCGAAATTTTACTTAAAGGGAAACTTTAGCCATTGGAATACTACCAAAGTACAATCAGTATTTTACCGATGGTAAAATAAAGGAGTTTACATTTTTTTCATTTATACTGGTCCTATATATTCTCTAACTTTCAAGCAGAATTATTTTCTAACATATAAATACTTTGTTATTAATGCCAAAGATATGAATGAGTAATGACCCTGAATCTTTTTGAAATGCTGCATTTTTTTAAAAAAAAATTTTCCATTGTACTTTGAACTGTTCCTGTATTTTACTGTTAACCGTATTTTAACTTTTTAGCCAAAGGTAATTTTACTCAAGCAATGGCTTGTTTAAAATGACTCCCCCTCAAAAGATAGAAAGACTCCAGTATTTCCATTTGTTTTACAATATCTTCATGCAGAAATGACAACAAATGGGAAATCTGGAGCAGATATAAGAAATATAAACAATAACTTGTTTTCATAATTCTGATTAAAAGTAACTAAGTTGGACTTTTGTATTTAGTTGGAGAAACTATGTAACTTGCTAGAGGCTACATAGGAGATCAGAAACAGAGCCCACACAAGAACTGTCAGCTGACTCCCGTGCTGTGGCTTTTCCCACTCTGGTCTGATGGTTGACCAATAGCATAGGAGTGACAGCCTTTATAAAACAGATGAAAGAAATGAAAACTTACTAATAAAAGCACTTCTTCAGAAAGTTCTTGTGCTTGTGCCCTCATGTAATGGCAGAATGATTAGTTTTGACTATTAGTATCCTGAAATATCGAAATATCTTCTCAGTATTAAAAATTTCTAACTTTTTTCTTTCATGTATTTACCTACCCAATCCTCAAAACTTTGGCTAGTGTTTAACCTTCTTAATGGCACCATACGTCAATTGTACATTTCAGTTCATTTGTCTTATGCATTAGACTAGAATATTCAGAAATAACCTTTTGTTTGTTTGTTGCAGGTGGATAATCCAGTTTCTGTTTTAACACAAGAGATGAGCAAGCAGTTCCTGCAGTCTAAAAATGAGGGGGACAAATACAAAGTAGGGAGCACCAAAGTCCATCTAAACTTAACCTCCCGCACCACTGCTGTCCATTCAGTATATACACTGAATATAACTCTTCTTCCCATAATAAATACTGAGTATTTTTTAAGCCACCTATTTAAAGTCATATTGTAGGAATAGTTTAGAAAATTGTTAAGTAACATGGAAGTAGAATTTTCTGGGTAAATCCTTGCTTTCACTTTTTGGCTTTTAAGTCTGAATGAGAATGGATGATTATTTTCTTTAAAGAAATACAAGGTAATGATTGGCCATATATATATATACATAATAGCTCTTAAACCTTAAATTATTGAAAAACTTAAAAAGCTAATAAAATATTGGACTACTACTAAAACTTAAGGTGGAACTTTTGCTTGTGTTTTGGTATTTCCTTTTCTTAAGTTTTAAGATCTGCTAAGATGAAGGTTACGAATGTCTTCTGTTTTCATATTTGCTTAAAGAATGGAAGAATCAGTGAAAATGAGCTTTCAAAATGGTATTACTATCAGGCCAAAAGTGTTTTCTTCCATGGGGTTTTAAGAGCTTTTGCAAATGAGCATGTAAGATGTGAGCATAGCAGGTTAAGTAAATTTGGGGTCTGAAATAAAATATGTTCTTGTGTGTTTAAGTGTATTTGCTGAAGTGTGTTTTTAATGTTTTTTTAAACATAATTAGTCTAAAAGTTTTCAGAGACCAAGTTCTTCTTTTCACTGTTCCATGGAAATTTACAAACTCCTAATTGTGTTTTTCTTATTGTTGATATAGTTCTTCATGAAAGCAACCCAACTTGAACAGATGAAGGAAGATTATTCATACATTATGGAAACAAAAGAAAGAACAAAGGAGCAGATAAGTCAAGGAGAAGAGGTTTGCAAATGCTTAATGCAAATGTTTTTGAAAAATTCCTATAGTACTTATAAGATAAATGGTTTTTTAAAATTATACACTAAATATAGATATATAGGTATATAAAATGAATACTTTTATAGCACTGTAAACTGTGAAGTGTGGTTTTATATTCAAGGTGTTTATTAGCCATTTTCATTTTGTAGTAATAGGTATGTATGTACACATCTTACTTTGTTAGGCTACCAACTGGAGGACAGGGCAGTATCTTACATGCTTATCCCTTGGTATGTGACTGATGGGTTCTACAATAAGGTATCACTAATTCCCACTGTAAGTAGTTTAAAAACTGTGATAATACCTTTAAGCACAAGCCAAGCTGATATTAAGCCTGATACACATTTATAATTACACACAGTGGTTAACTTGCACTACTCTAGTAAAGTGCTAGCATCATTAAGCACTGATGGCTGGGTAATAACTGTCACATCAGCACACAACAACTTGGCAGCTGTGCAAATCTGCTTCAGTTTGAAATCACTCAAGCCAGCATGACTTGACTTAAATTTGTGTTCTTACTCTTTCTTGTTTAGATTCCTGAAGATCAAACCTTCTTTCTGATAATCAGAGACCTCAAAATCATAAAGCTTAGACTTTTCAGCTGTTCATCAAGTCCTGCTAATTTTTTGTAATTCTGTATCTTGTTCTTTTGTTAGTTTTATATAAGTTGAGCTTTTAGCAACTTTTTAGCTTGTTCTTTTGAGACAGAATTGTACTATTTATTGATTGACTCAGTCAAATTCATTAGCTATTACACTGACCTTTTTACTTTATGTTTTTGAGGAATGCATATTTAAAATTAGGTCTATAGTTGTATGGTTCATGAAGTGAAAACTCAAAAGGCAAGGATGAGCATAATTATTTTTATCCCCCACATTATTATCCCTTTAAACATGGGGCATGTGTCAGTGTGCAATAAGGTACCATAAACCACAGAATTCAGAGTGTATCAGTGTTATTATTGGGGAAAGGAAATATTTGCTTATTCAAACACATGTACATAGTACGTATTATATTCTTTACTTTAAAGATAATAAATCAGGACTTTAGAGAAATTTGTTTGCTTCAGACAGCTCAGGGCCAAACACCCACTTTTTCTCCCTGGTATACTCTGTCATCAGTAATTAAAGGTACTTTGATTATAAAGTTTTAAGAAGCACTTCCCTATGCCATGTAGCAGACATAGGGACTTAATAAGAACTTTATTTCCAATCAGTTAACTACCCTGTATTCTCAAGATGAATTCTGGGTTTGAATAGCAAAATCTCTAAGAAATAATACGTGAAGGTTAGAAACTGGAAGTTCTTCAGTCAGTAGACCTGAAGTTCCGACCACATTCCTCCTAGCATTGTGCTTCAGTTGCCTGTATGACAGCAAATAAATATCAGAGTCTTGGGGTCATAGATATAACTATTCAGCGAGAAACAGAGGCAAATAAATTGAGTATAGTGAGCACTAGTAAAGGAGTTGAGGAAAAGATTTGTGCACTTAATAGGGTCCAGCATGGGAGGAGGAGCGGGTAGGGCAGTGGGAGACGAGTTGATGTTAAGGAAGTGATGTCAAGATGAGGAGTAAAAGATGAATAATACTAGGCATGAGATGGTGAAGTAAAGAAGGGTGTTCCAAATAATGAACATGGTATAGCCTCAGGCAAGACTCAGGTGCTTTTAACAAGTGCAAAGAATTCTGTTTTGGCTGAAGTAAAGAACACAAGAGTGAGAAATAAGAGGCCAGATCATGGAGGACTTTGTAAAACTACGGACAGTAGAACATAGGAATGTGGATAATTGGTTAAATGTGTATTTTCTTTTTTTTTTCAATTAAGGTCTAACTGATATACAATCTTAATGAAGGTTTCACATGAGCAGCATTGTGGTTTCAACATACACACATATTATCAAGTCCCCTGCCACCCCATTGCAGTCACTGTCCATCAGCATAATAAGATGCTATAGAGTCATTACTTGTCTTCTCTGTGCTATACTGCCTTCCCTATGACCTGCCTATATTGTGAGTGCTAATTATAATGCCCCTTAATCCCTTCTCTCTTCCTCTCCACCCACCCTCCCCAACCCCTTCCCTTTGGTAACTGCTAGACTTTTCTTAAAGAGTCTGTGAGTCTGCTGCTGTTCCTGTTCCTTCAGTTTTGCTTTGTTGTTATGCTCCACACATGAGTGAAGTCATTTGGTACTTGTCCTTCTCTGCCTGGCTTATTTCATTGAGCATAACACCCTCTAGCTCCATCCATGTTGTTGCAAATGATAGGATTTGTTTTTTGCTTACAGCTGAATAATATTCCATTGTGTATATGTGCCAAATCTTCTTTATCCATTCATCTACTGATGGACACTTAGGTTGCTTCCATGTCTTGGCTATTTGTAACTTTGGGGGGAATATGCTGGAGTAAAGTACCTTTGAAACCTAAATCAGTCAAAGGGAGAAACAAAGTGAGAGAAACCTGTTTATTTCTTACAAGCAGCTGTCCCATGTCTCTTGTGACCCGGCTGCAGAAGAAGAGATCCCACCTAACCTCTCTGGTCCAGATAAGCCCTCACTGGCCCTTTTAATTACCTATTGAAACACCTCTTGATACAGAGATGCACTAAGGCCAGGCGAGAGATTCTGGAAATACTGCATTTTTACTACACTATTGGAAATAGTGCTGTGGTAAACATATAGGGGTGTATAAGTTTGTATTTTCAATAGATTGCTCTGCTCTAGGAAAGAGTGAATTGCTATAAGGGAAGAAAGAGCAAATGTGGAGAGATTGGTAAAGGAGATGTTGTCATTGTCTAAAGAGGTGATAACCATGTAAGTTAGGGTAAGGTAATGGAGAGCAGGGTTTTGAAATGATTCGGACAGTTGTTATTATGGGACATGGAGGGGTAAAGTCATCAACAGTGACCAGATGACCTCTAGATTAATAACCAGAGCGGTAGAGTAAGTTTCTTAAGATACGAAGCTTGGAAGAGAAGACAGTTTTTCTTTTCTGACTTTTTTTCTTATAAGATGATGAATTTAATTTCTTTAAAGATGATGAATTCCACTTTGAACCACATTCATTTTGAGGTATTTATAAAGCATCCAAGGATAAATACAAAGTGGACAGTTGGGCATGAGTTAGGAATACAGAAGTCAAATCTAGATGCAAAAAATTTACGAGCCGTCAGGATGTTGTTGATATCTGAGTCCTGGGAGTGCCTCAGGAAAGTGTGCCCCGTCCTGAGCCATAAGAAATGCTCACGGAAGCAATAGAAGCCAAGGAAAGAGAGGGTTTGGGGAGAAAGTCGTAATGTCTGAGATGTACTGAGTGGGAAGACACCACAAGGATTGACAGATTCTCACTGTATTCAGTGACATAATCTTCAGAGAAGCCTGTGGCAAGACAAGTTTCTGTAGTGGTGAAAACAGAAGCCAGATTTGTGGGCCTGAAAATGTGAGGAAACAGAAGAGATACGGATAATTTCCACAAAACTTGGATGGAAAGAGAGGAAGACTGGCAGAGGCGGGGGGGCGGTGCCCGGGGGTGGATGGTGAAGCTCTTGTTTGTAATTGGGAAAATAAGTGAGTAAAGATTTAAACATGATAATGAGAAGGAGTCAGTGAAGAGGGTGAGGTGAAAACCATCATTTGCAAAGATGGGGTGAAAAAAACCCAGCTTATTTAGACCTGCTGAGGAGGCAGAAGAGGATGGTAGCATCCAAAATAGGTAGGAAGTGGGGACTGGATTTAAGTGTAATGAAGCCACTTTTCTTTTGCAGCAGGAGGAAGGCATGGCTGCTTAGATTTTTAGTCTAAAATGGCTACTGAATTATCTGAAATAAGAAAAACGGAGAATAAGAGAGATTAGGGTGGCAGGGGGTGTGAGGTCTGAAGAGAGTGATAATGGGTAGAAATAATCCTGGAGAATGGGAAAGTGACCTGAATGGGGAAACACAATAAGCTCTACGGTGTAAGGCCCTAGTCGAACATGAGAACATGCATGACGGGGAGAGGCCATCTACCCAGGTGTACAGACTATAAAATCCAGAAGCCTCATCAGAAGCTGTTCTAATGTCATTATATTTAATATTTGTCTGATGATTTTATTTATTAATTACTAAGAGAACATAGGTAAGAAAAATTTTTCAAACTTCTTTGATTTTTGGAAATAAATTTATTTTGAGCCTTTTGTAATCTTTTGAATGGGTACAGGTATCCTTTGCCCAAAAGAACAGACCAGTCTGTCTATCAGCTATGGATTGAGAGTAAATAGGAAACTGAGTTTTGTGGTTTGTCTATACTTGTGTGGTCTTGAAACAGTTTATTTCTTTGCTCTTCTTCATCTGAAGAATATTGGGCTATTTTTATAGTGCAGAAATTAACAAAATTATTGTGCTTAGTGAAACTATACCAAAGGACAAAACTACTTTTATTTTTGCCTTTTAGGAGTCATGACTAGCAAATCTTTTTTAGCACTGTTAAAGCATTGTATTCAAAATACATACATTTGTAAAAAGACTTGTCTTTTCTGTTAGTAACAAATCTTTTCTTTTTTAAAGCGGCTTATTGAACTAAAGAGGCAGTGTTTGGAGAAAGAAGAACGTTTTCAAAGCATTGCTGGTTTAAGTACAATGAAGAATAATTTAGAAGAATTGAAACATGAAATGGCTTGGGCAGTGGTAATTTTTACTTACTTGTTCACTTACTTTTGTAATACATAGAATACATTTGGTTGCAGTTAATTTTATACATGATTCATTATTTAACTCCTTTTCAGGTCAATGAAATTGAAAAACAGTTGAATGCTATCAGAGATAATATCAAAATTGGAGAAGATCGTGCTGCTAGACTTGATAGGAAAATGGAAGACCAGCAGGTAATTATAGTATTTTTGTACAGATTTAGTAGGTTGAATCATATGAAATTACTGCTATTAGACTATTTATGGCCTACAAAAACAGTTGTTTCAACCTGTGTATCTATTTGTATTTATTATTGATGTGAAGCCGACCTAAACTTGTTCAAAGACTATTGTGTCAGTTCTCTTTTAAAAAGAGTACTGTATTCGGATGTGATCAGCCAGTTGAGTTTCGTGATGTAGAACTCAATTCATGCATGTGGACAATGACACTTTGTTGCCGACTAGAGATGCTAGAGCATGAAGCTTTTACTCATTAAGTAGTGAAAACATGGGTGCTAGGATAATAGTTCATTAGGAAGGGATTAAAGCAAAGTATCATGAAGTAGAAGAATTCAGAACTGAACCCTGTGCCCAAAGATAGCTGATGGAACTTTCAGGGAACTGAGATTTGGGGCCCAGAGCCATCTAGGGATTTCATGTAGGTGGAATAGGTATGGGACCAGCAATTAGGTCTGCTAAGGTTAATTTTACAGTGCGATCTAAAATGCCCAGGTAGGGATTACACTATTTACCTAAGATTCAAGAAAGCCACAAGAGTGTTTTTCACTTGGGCCTCAAGCTATAAGTTGGTGAGTGGTAAATAAAAGCAGTAATTGTTGGAGGTTTCCACTTGGTTATCATATAGCAGATCCACTGTTTATACTCACTTTTTCATTTTCTTTTCAATAGCTTTATTGAGATGTCATATAGATGTCATATAATTCAGTGGTTTTTGAGGACATTCACAAGGTGTGCAGCCACCACTGTGGAATTCCTCACACTGTCTTGCCAAAAGTAGAACTTCCAGCCTTTTCTTTCTTTATAGGAGCCTCCATATACTCAGTGGGGGTGCCTTCACCTTATAGTATTTTGTTCTGCTTAGGAGTTTTTGACCCCTGTGCTTGGTTGTTGTATAGGATGTAATCTTCCTCACCTTACTTTTTCCTGTCCGCCTCCAGGACAAGTAGATAGGTCTTTTTCCTTTGAAGGATTATGACAGTCCATCAAAGGTAATGGATTAGTAAGCAAAACTAACAGTGACGATAGTACATTTACAGTGATCTCTGGGCTGAGTTTCTTACTCCCTCTTCTGGGAGTAAATGGAAATTCACCCAATGCCACCTGAAATACTCATTTCTGAGAGAAGAGTCTGAAATTTTCACCAAATTCTTCTCCATCTCATTTCTTAGCTTGTCATAGGGGAAGACCTTAAGTTAATTTCCTCTTTAGATATTCCCCAGTCTAAAAATGGACTCCAGCCTGAGGAACAGATGCTCACCTGATTTTCAAATGGGAAAGGGAGGATCTTGAGGCCGGGTGTTACTTGTTTCTATAGGTATTTGCTCCACTTAAGTATTGGGCACTCTGTGTAGTAAATGGTAAATTTCTGGAGGGTAAGGATTGTCTTATATTTCCATTCTTCCTCATCATGTCTTACATAAAGCCCTTCATACAGTATATGCTCACTTATTGATTATTGAATGACTTTTGAATGAAAGATTTCTGAAGAAGTGATATCAAAAGCAGACTTTTAACTTGTGTTAATCTAATTTGAAACTGAGAATGAGGAATTATGTTCAGTTTGTGTAACACCAATACCAACTTCAATATTTTTTAAAGTATCGTTAATATACAATCTTATGTTTGTTTCAATTGTATATCACAGTGGCTCAACAGTTACCCACATTATCAAGTCCTCACCTCCTCTAGTGCAGTTACTAGAGAAAGATGTTACAAAATCATGACTGTATTCTCCATGTTGAACTACCATCCCTGTGATTAACTTAGATTACCATGGAGAATTATTATGTCCCTTTATCCCTCTCTCCCACCCACCTGCCCCAACCCTTCCCTCTAGTGGTTACTAGTAATTTCTCAGTGTCTATAAGTCTGTTGCTATTTTGTTCTCTCTGTTTTTGCTTTGTTTTTATACTCCACAAATTAATGAAATCATAAGCCTTTGTCTTTCTCTGCCTGGCTTATTTCATTGAGCAAAATAACCTCTAGATCCATCCATGTTGTTGCAAATGGCAGGGTTTCGTTTCTTTTTATGGCTGAATAATACCTCATTGTGTACACATACCACATCTTTATCCACCCATCTATTGATGGACACCTAAGTTGCTTCCATGTTTTGGCTGTTACAAATAGTGTGGTGATAAACATAGGGGTGCATATATCTTTTCGAATTAGGGATTTTGTTTTCTTTGGGTAAATTCCTGGATGTAGAATTACTGGATTGAATGGTATTTCTATTTTTAGTTTTTTGAGGAACCTCCATATTGCTTTCCACAGTGGTTGCACCAATTTACATTCCCACCAACGGTGTAGGGAGGGTTCCTATTTTTCTGCATCTTCGCCAGCATTCGTTGTTTGTCTTTGGATAGTGGCCATTCTAACCACTGTAAGGTGACATCTCACTGTGGTTTTAATTTGCCTTTCCCTGATGGTCAGTGGTGTGGAGCGTCTTTACATGTGCCTGGGGGCCATCTGGGTTTCTTCTTCAGAGAAGTGTCTGTTCAGGTCCTCCGCCTATTTTTTAATCAGGATATTTGTTTTTTGGGTATTGAGGTGTATGAGTTCTTTATGTATTTTGGATGTTAACCCCTTGTCAGATGAGTCGTTTACAAATATATTCTCCCATACTATAGGATGCCTTTTTGTTTTGCTGATGGTGTCCTTTGCTGTCTAGAAGTTTTTGTTTGATGTAGTCCCACCTGTTCATTTTTTATTTTGTTCTGTTGCCCGAGGATGTGTCCAGGAAAAAATTGCTCATGCCAACTTCAGTTTTTATAAAAACAACATAAAACAAAACATAACATTATGCTATTGATGTTTTAGTAATAGAACTTCATTACCAGTCTATGGAATGTTTCCTTAATACCCCATCTTCTGTCAATTCCCTAATCTATCTCCTATTCAGCCTTGAGCACTTGATTTAAATATCCATCTTCTCATAAGTATCTGCATGTTCCAGATACTTCAGACTTAGTATGTCTAGTTGAATAACTTTAACAAAGACTATATGACCCACAGCCTGAAATATGTACTCTCTGGGTCTTTCTAGAGAAGTTCACTATTCCCTGATCTAAATAGTTCCCATATATGTCCCTTCTAATACATTCCTATTGTCATTGCTCTATTTGTCCCTAATTATTTTTGCTCCAGATTAGCATATTAACTTCATGCTGAAGTTGTTTCCTTTAATTTTTCCTTCGACCCAGCCTTCCATGTGCTTTCAGAGTGATTTAACATTGTAGATTTGGTCATTTCTTATATCTCTGTTGTCTACAGGGGTAAGTTGTAAACTGTTCAGTGTGGGAGTAAGACCCTTCTACGTCTTCACTTCATTTCCCAACAGTACCCTCGAAGCTTAAGCTCCAGAAATATTTTTAATGCATAAAATATGTATTAATTTCTTTCTATGTGCTTTTCCATCTGCCTCTCTAATATCCTTCCCCAACTTTTCTCCCAGAACAGTTGGATTGCTCTTTCATGACTCAGCCCAAATGCTACTTCTGCTTTGAAGGCATTCCTGACTTTTTTGGCAGACGTGTGGGTTCTTTGTCTGCGCTCCCACAATCAGAAGTAGACATACCCTGTTGTACACAAAATGTATGATCAATTAGCATACCTGTTTCTCGCTAGATTGTGTCAATCTCCCTTAATTGAGTCACTTGAAGATAACTGTTACTGTATCTTTGTATCCCTAGAAGATAGCACTTCTATTGGATAACTAAATGTGGAATTAAAATTATATTTTATTATTTTATGTAATTATGTTTGCTTATCCAATGTCTTGAGTTTAGTCAGAATGAAATTAAGCTTAGTATTGGGATGTGAGCTATAAATAATTTAATTTTTTTTCTGTTGAAGAAAAATAAAATATACCCAACAGTGTTATTTTCTTAAAGGTCAGACTTAATGAAGCAGAAAACAAATACAAGGATATTCAAGATAGACTGGAAAAGATTATTCAGGAGACAAATGATCGAGCACCAGAATGTTTGGCACTGAAAACAGATGTGACTGCTAAGAAAAGGGTCTATAATGAAGCTGAGGTGAGGGAAATTTCCCAACCTAGAATATTAACAACTGCCTATCAAATATAATCTATCTTGCTTTCAGATATAAGAATGTTTCATATGGCCATTTATGTACTTTGTTTTAAAAATCTATTTCTGCACATATTCAGCCTCTGATTTAAAGATATGGCGGAAGTGGACTTGAATGGGATATTTGTTTTTTCATTTTACTGAAGTGTGTCTAATTTTTTGTTAGGTTTTATATAACCGTTCCCTAAATGAGTATAGAGCATTAATGAAAGATGATGAACAGCTTTGCAAAAGAATTGAGGAGCTAAAGAAAAGGTAACATAGTTACTTTTCAATTTTCATGATTGTCTCATTCTCTAATAAAGTAATCTAGGTGAAATGGAGGGTCATATTTTCTGTATTATTACTAAAGGAATTTTATCACATTGCTTTGTTTTTTAAATGTTAGACTTTTCCATTTAACATATTTACCTTTGGATTATTTACTGTTAGTACTGATCAATCTTTGGAATCGGAGTGCTTGGAAAGGCAAAAAAAAATATCTTGGTTAAAAGAGAGAGTAAAGGCGTTAAAGGATCAAGAAAGTTCAGTCAGTCAAGAGGTTGAGCAGTTTCATCAAGCCATAGAAAAGGACAAAGAAGAAAGCATCAGAATTAGGTAAGTGTCAAAATCCTTAGATGGTTTTTTTCAATTATTTAAAAATCATATTTTGCTTTTTATATGAAAAGAGAAAACATGGTTTTTTGTTTCTTCTACATGTAAGGGATCTTTTAAAATTACTTTTCCTAGACTTGTCTCACACTTGGAGAGTTGGACTATTTCTGGGATTCCTAGCCCTCATCATTGTGGCTTTTTTTTTGTTTATGCTAAGTTTTGAGGACTTCTATTTTTCTCTAGTAACATAGTTATTTTCAAATAAATCTGCTTTTAGTTTTTAGTGTAGCTGGGTTATTCACTGGCAGGCAGGTGTTAGGGGAAAAGGTTGAGCATGTCTGTGTAACTGTATCACATACCTGTTCTGTTCTCGCACTTTTTTAGGAGAGAAGAATTAGACGTGAAGCATGTACTGAACTATAATCAGAGGCAACTGAAGGAATTGAAAGATAGTAAAACTGATCGACTAAAACGATTTGGCCCTCATGTGCCAGCTCTTCTTGATGCCATAGATGATGCTTATAAACGTGGGCTTTTTACCTATAAACCTATAGGCCCTTTAGGTATTTGTCATCATTTACAAGATGTAATAAACATTAGATACAAGTTTTTATTTTAAGGAAGGGGTCTATTGAATCTAGTTTTAAAACTCTGTTAACAAAGAACATTTAAGAGATAATGATGAAAGTCAGTTTAAACTTTGCTACTTTCCTTTTGTTTCTTTAAAGTATAAAATAGCCAAACGAAAGAGAATTTATGAAAAGGAAAAATAATTGCAGAGTTGAGTAATCTGATTTTTTTCCTGAATGAATGAATAAATGAATGAACTAATTTGAATGACATTGATTAGTTAGAAAATCCGGTGACCTCAAGATACAATCAAAAGAACATTCACCACCTGAGTTTCTGTCACCGTTGTAAAATGACTTTTCTTAGTTTCTATTAAGGTTGGACAACTTTGTTTCTAAGCCCTCTTCCAACTATAAAATCTGGGGTTATTTAATTTTCCCCATATATACATGAAATTAAGAAATGTATGTATCATTTGAATTCTCCTTAGGAGTTATCTTCAATCCTATACATCATTAGAAAAAATGACATAAATATAAATACATTTTGTTAGTAAAGTACTGTGTTACTGTGTAAGTACAGTATTATATCCTGTATTATATATTGTGGTAGTATCTCTTCATTTAAGTGATATGTTCCTCTATACCAGGATCTGTTTCAATGGACGAGGCATTTTTTTCTATCTCTTGAGTCTAAAATCCCAATACTGATCAGTTTTACAGAAAATAATAATCTATAAACCTTTTGGTTTGGGGTTTCCAGAACACCATTCAGAGGCTGGGATGGTATAAACTTACGTGGAAAAACCACTGTTGATTTACATTAGAGTGGGACAGTTTTTTTCACAGTATTTGGTGAGTTTTTTCCCCCAGTATATCCAGTGGGTATGTGAAGATTTCCTGTTCAGTTAAAGGTCTATAATATCATTTAAGCTACCTTAATGTGAAAATATTTTGAAGTCATTTATGAACTTTCACAATAAAATCATTAAATTAATATTTCAAAATAAGCATTTATGGGCCTTTTAATAATTATCTTTGACTTTTAGGGGCTTGCATTCATCTTCGGGACCCTGAACTTGCTCTGGCTATTGAATCTTGTTTAAAAGGACTTCTGCAAGCCTATTGTTGCCATAATCATGCTGATGAAAGAGTCCTTCAGGCACTGATGGAAAGGTTTTATTCACGAGGAACCTCACGACCACAAATTATAGTTTCTGAATTTCGGAATGAGATGTATGATGTAAGACACAGGTAAGGCATTAATAATTAAATATTTTTCTGGTTTTGCTTAATCATGTTTAAGGTTAGAAAGAAAGAAAACATTTTTATGTTAACCACGTCTACCCTACTGATGTAACATTTCATGAAGTCACTTCTTTAATTTCAGTGTAGGCACCGGATATACATAGGTAGTAAAGAGACCACCCCTGACCTTGAGTTCCTTATATGAGGTCTATTGTGGACAACATGAAGGGAAGCAAATGTAGTGCGGCATAGAAATCACACTGATGAGGGAAATTACACCAGCCTGGCCAAATTAAGAGCTGGGTATTAAGAAAGAACATTGGCTCACTGCTCACCGTTAACTCCAAAAGTGCTTCACAGATTCTCTGAAGAGCTGGGATTGTTTTCTTTGATTGACTCTAACCTTCCATGAGGGCACAGGTCCCAAACTGTCCTCTCGGTAGCTGCTGGCTACCTGGTCACTCTACTTTTAAATAAATACACTTGGCCCTTAGACAACATGGATTTAAACTACACGGGTCTGCTTAAATGCATATTTTTTTCAATATAGATGTTGGAAAATTTTTCAGAGACTTGCAACAATTTGAAAAAGTTTTTCTAGCTTTATTGTAAGAATACAGTATATAATTTAACATACATAATATGCATCAACTATGTTATTGGTAAGGTTTCTAGTGAGCAGTAGGCTATTAGTAAAGTTTTCAGGGAGTCAGTAGTTATATATGTGGATTTTTCACTGTAGGGGATGTTAGCGCTCCTAACCCCCACTTTGTTCAGAGGTAACTATACACATACTTTCTAATTTTTGTCAGCTTTGGTAAATTGGATCACAAGATACAGGTATAGTTCAGATGAGGGAATAATTAAAGGTTAGGGAATAAGTCAGAAAAGAGAGTAAATAATCAGTCTTCTAACTGATGGATTTGTCAAATGACAGACAAAGGTTAATTGCCTCTAAGCAGATAGAATTCTATGTGCAAAACACATGGAAGCATGACATAAATTAGACTGCAAAAAATAGCATTTGCATTGCAGATAGAAAGGAACAAATTAAGAGATATTTAGGACAACATTAATGAAATGTGTTACTTGAATATAAGAGAAGAAAGAATTGAGGATAACCATTAGATTTCTGACCTAACAAATGTGCCATCAGGTGATTTAGGAGAAGTATAAGAAAAAAAAGTGGCTTGTCAAAAGTAGTTAAGTCCTGTTAAGAAATTATTGATTTTGAATTTTTAGGCTAGAAAAAGGATTTGGGATTTAGGGTTAAAGTGTTCTCACTGCATGAAAATTTGACCTTATGTTAATTTCTAGCATTGATCCCTGGTTTCTAAAACCTGATAAAAGTGAAATTTCAGTTGCACTACCAGAGAACGTAAAAATGACCCCTCACAGGTTAGTTGCATCTGGAATGGAAGATCTGTTAATAGCTGGTGGGTTGCCTGTATGATGACTCTTGTAATGGGCGTTTCCCTGCTGAGACCTTGGAAACTGTTCCTGTGGGGTTGTTAAGAAATATTGGTTTCTGTGGGGAGTGTCCTCCCGCACCCGAACTGTCTTTTGGGGACCAAGAACAGTAGAAGTCCTGGTCAGCTGTGTGGACCACCCTGAACTGCTGCAAGGACTCCATGAACAGGCATACCTGGCCCTGTCCTCCTGGCAGGTTGTTCCTAGTCATTTTATTTCTGAGCAGTGTGCCAGGTGGGACATAGAGTATCCTGTGAAGGTTTGTGCCTTGTAATGTCACTTACTCGGAAGTGGAGGAGAATATGCTTACGTCCTCATATGCTGAACACACGTTGTCTCTGGAGTCGGGAAGCAGGTTTGGGAGAATGAGAGAGGAAGCTCATCCAAAGTCCTTTCAGATTCAAACACCTGTGGTGGCTGTAGGGTTTTTCACTAGTAATGTTTGTTTTTGTAGTAGGTTTGAGTGGTAATTTGTGTTGTTGGCCTAATACTGCATTGAAACTTTTTAGAGTGGGTGGGCACTACAGAAAAGGAGGAGGAAAGCAATTGAGGAAGGGCTGCTGGGAAAGTAGCTCAATGATGGGCCGTGGGTTTTAGGCTGGGGAGACAGTGAGGCCTGGTAGAGAATCTTCAGGTCAGCCTTGATGCAGTTGGAGAGCAGGTGTAGCCGGGAGGATGGCAGCTTGTGGTGAGAGGGGCAAGTAGAGTTTCATGGAGCTGCTTCAGGGGGTGGAAGGTCCATGTCTGGCTTTAAGAATGGGTTGTTGAAGTTTGAGTTGGTGGAATAATGGAAGAAGTTGGCTGATAACTTTTAAATGTTGACAGGAGATAGACAAGTCTTTGGTATGTTTAATATTCTGTCAACTTTAGCTTCCTTCCAACATTTTCAAGGGTAATTTTTTTGTAAACTTTATCAATATAAATTGTGGTTCAGATGCTGATTTTTAAAATTGGGCATGTTATTTTAATGTAGAAAAACATGGTAAAGCATTATTAGAATATTAGATGGAATCAGATACATCAGGCTTCTGTGAGAGAACCTCAACAAAGGCACCTGGGAACATGCGTAGCTCCCAGGGAGGTACTAGGAGTGGTTTCCTTTCCTGTGAAGATGGGCTTCTTTCCTATTGTCAAAGTCTGAAGAAGAGGCCACCAGGCTACTCAGCTTGCTCTTACCAGCGCATGTCTGCACCTCAGCAGAAGGGAGGTTCTTTCCAAGCCTAAGTAGATTCTACTTGTATTCTGAATTGCATACTTTCTTTCCTGATTCATACATGAACCATTCCTTTTAATTATTTCAACTCTCCCGAGCCTTAAACTTTCCTACCGTTGACTTCTGTCCCCTGCAAATGTCCAAATGTCTCCCCTTTAAAATGTACGCTGATTTGCCTCTCGCATCTGAAGAACGGACTCCCAGGTGTGACCGTGCATTGGCTCCCTGACGTACTACTTACTGCCTGGCCCCTGACAGATGACTCATGTTGCTAAATCCAACGTCTGCGCTTATTCCTGTTAAGCATACCTGCCTTGAAACCTTGTGCTCATTCGGCTACCTGGGAACTGTTTTTCTTGGCCCTCCGCTGCCTTCCAGATGCTGCACGCCGATTGGTGGGCTTCCCCTTCCCCTCCTGCTCCTGTGATTTTGGTGCTCCCCGCAGCTCTTGCTGGCTTGCTGTCACTTGTCACTTTATGTATTCTTAGGTTTAAAGACATCAAAACATCCCAAGTTTAAGTGTGTTTTTTCTGTATTTTATTTGATTATGGTATTTTTCCTTTTACTTGGCTGTAGAACTCATGGTTTTATTTAAGATTTCTTCTAAGCTTCATTAGGATCATCTAGTCATTTGGTCCTGTAACTCCTCTTAACTGGTGAGGCGCGCGAGGCTTGTGGGGAATTTGTGTGCAGTTTTCCCTTTCCGCCTGTCCTGGTTAGGCTTTCTACTCTGCATGGGTAGTGAGCTTATTTCATATTACCCTTTCCTCATCCCCTGTCACTGATGCCTCACTGCTACTCTTCTTTCCTACTTCTCGTTCCTCCGGACTGATTTTACAGTATCTGCCAGCATGCAGCTCATTGTAATAGAGGCCAACATGAAGGCCATCCCATGGAAGTTGAGCAGAAGGAAAGGTGGTTGTGACTGGAGCTTACAACCCGCCGGTAGAGGCAGTCTTGTCTAGCAGTGGCATGGTTCTGTTCAAAACAGTTGCTCCTTCCTAGCACAGAAACCTGGGCTTTCAGTGCACTGGCCAGAGCCTTCCTTTCTCTGGAATCTCTTACGCCGTCCTCCCCTCTTAGGCTCCTGCTGCCTCTCCTTTCTCCTTTCACTCCCCTCTTTGTTTTGTTGACGCTGCTTGATGGTTCTAGAGTGCCCAGCCTCCGTCCTTTCCTCTCCTCGTTTTCACTTCTGTGGAAGTACAGCCTAAGGTTACTGCCCTGTTTCTCTCCTTCCCTTTACAGGAAGAACTCCTCAAAAGAGTTGTCTCTGTTTCTAAGTTCTCCCTTCCCCTTCTGCCTTGAACCTCCTCCAGTCAAGCCTTTATAAGTTGGCCACATACCAAAACAACTCTTGTCCAGTTACTAGTGAACCTTGCTTTGCTTGATCCTGTGACCCATCCTTACTTCTCACCAACTCAACCCATCAGCAGTATTTGAGTCAGCTGATCACGTCATTCTTCATGAAATACTTCTCCACTTCATCCCCAAGATTTTACTCTTATGGTTTTCCTAAATCTCTAGATATTTAAAAAAAAAAATCTTTTACTTATTCCTCCCCACCTGGGCACCTCTTAACTAGATCAGAGCTCCTGACCGTGTCTGCATGTGCACCTGCTCCCAGGTGCACTCATCCAGTATCTCGGTTTAAGGTACATTTTACATTTCAATGGCTACCAGTGTATGTTCTAGCTTAGCTTTTTCCTCTGAACTCCAGAATATTACATATTCAATATATATATATATATCCCACTTTCTTTTCTAACAGATATTTCAAGACTTAACATGTCTAAAAGCTAAACTCCTAGAAGTCCTCTTAGTGCAGTGGGCAGTGCATCAGTCTCATAACCTGAAGGTCCTACGTTGGAGCCTCTGAGAGGGCAAGTCTGTTTTGCTGGGCAGTGACACAGTATTCAGGGAGAACATGTGCTGTGACTCTTAGAAGCCCGGCAGGAAGAGGGGTGCCCACACAAGCATGGGTGTTGCCAACGCTGGCTGTCTGACGACTGTGCCAGTGAAATGCTTAGAGCCTCATACAGACCTTCAACCTCCACTCATAACAAAATAAGCGCAGGCCTATGACCATTGTGTCCCTCCTCCCAAGAATAAAAATAAATAAATAAATAAATAAAAGCCAAGCCCTGATTTCCACTCTAAAATGTGTTCTTCATCTTCATTTTTCAGTTGCTCAAGCCATATCCTCACTCATCCTTGGCTCCCCTCTGCCCCCCAGTCCTAGTGGCTATACTTTAAAGAATATACATATATATGCAGGCTCTAAACGTTTATGCACTGACCACACCTTGTTCAGGCCATTGTCGTGTCCCACTTGAGTATTGCAATAGGCTGATCTTCCTGCTTCTGGTTCTCTGCCACCCCTCCAGCCAGAAGGAAGTTGGTTCATGTCATTACTCTGCTCATAGTGCTCCATATGTTCCCCATCCTATTCCCCTGATGAGAGGCCTTTCTGCCACCTCCAGGGCCCACATGATCTGTCCTCTGACCATCTCTGCTGTCCTGTCTCCAGGAGTGCTCCCCTCACTGCCCAGCCCACCAGGTACACTGCCTCTTGGCTTCTCTGCAAACCCTTATACGGCCTCTGCCAGCACCGTTCCCATGGCTCGAAACACTCTTCAGGATGCTGATGTGACTCTTCCTTTTTTCACATGTCTGCCTGGTATCATGTTAGTGAGACTATTCCTGACCTTTTTGGGGTAAGAAAACTCTATGTGTCCCTTGTAATTTTCTATCTCCCATCAGGAGACTGTAACTTCCATGGGGAAAAGGATGAGATACCTTTGGTCTGTCTCCTAATCCTGGCATGTAGTAGGCACTTAATAAATACATGTTGCATTAATGACTGAGTAGGTGTAAAGTGTCTGCAAAGATTTGCTCCTTGTTCTGGAATTCTAGGACTAAGCAAGCACTAAGGGTGGTGCAGCCATTTTCCCTGGAGCCATTCTTTGCTGTTGTACCTACTGTTTTCTATTCTTCAGAGCTATTAGTAGCTCACACGCTTATATTTTTTTTAGTTGAAATATTGGATGTTTCTTTAGGGGGTCCAAATTCCAAATTACAATTCACAAGAATATCTATTCTCTTATATTTCCTCTGTGTTGAAAATAAACTTCAATCTTTCTTGTCTCAGAAGAAAAATAAGGTAGTTATTAAAAATGTTTTAATTAATTGACTTTTATATTTATGAATGCTAGCAGTGTTAAGATTTAGGGAAATTGTGACTATTAATTATAACAGACAGAAAGGCATAATAATTAAGAATTGGGGTTTAAGAGCAGAGCTGCATGGCTTAATCCCCACCCAAGCACTTCTTAACTAGCTTTAAGACATTGGAGAACTCACTAAACTCTCTGAAGCTTTCTCATCTGAAAAAAACAAAACAAAACTGGAGAGAACAGTATCTATCTCATGGTTGTTATGAGGATTAAAAGAGCTAATATTTACAGTGTTCTTAGAACAGTGCCTAGCATATAGTATCGTATAAATATTTGCTAAGTCAATAAAGTTAACCTATTACAGATGTATTCAAATATTATGAGATATATTCCATTGTAGTATTATCTATAATCTACTCACCCATTAAATAAATAAATATATAATTTCAGTTTGATAACCTAATCCATATATATGTATTTTTGTCTCCTAGAGCTGTTTATCACCCAGAGTTTCCCACGGTTCTGACTGCTTTAGAAATAGATAATGCAGTTGTTGCAAACAGCCTCATTGACATGAGAGGCATAGAGACGGTGCTTCTGATCAAAGTAAGACCAGATGCTTGCTGTATTTTAGGTTATTTTTAAATTTTCAAAATTGAACTTGGTTATATAAATTCCTGTTTCCCTTCTATATCATAGAATTGTTGACATGTTTTATCATTGTAATTTTGCCTTATAGGAAAATCTTTGGAATACTATAGAACTAGTGGGCTAGTTTGTGTATGTTCTGCCCCAGAGAGCTTTATGACCTTATGGTTATATTCTTTATAAGATAATTTCACAAATATATATTATTATTTTGGTGAATGATGTGATAAAATTTGTTCATTCTTTCTTAATTAGCTGACAAAACTATTTTTTATTTACCCTCACAGATACATGTATTATTACTTTTTAAACACATACTTTATTTGATATTTTATGAATTCTTCTTAAAACTTTAAGTGCTGTAAAATAAATCAATATTTACTCTTCATCTGTTTGTATATATTTATGTACTTGCTGGATTAGACCACCATATAGTCTTTCATCTACTGGCCCAATAAATTTGCTGGGAAGGAATGGAGATTCAAAATAAATCTGTAATCAAGAAAAACATAGTAGTCTTTTTCTTATTAAGGAATGTGAGAAGTAATAGTATCAGTAATGCAAATACATATATATATTTCAAATTCATACTTTAATTACTTGTGGGCTTGGCTCTCTTATATTTTAGAAGGATACGTGAAAGAAAATACTGAAATCTGTTGTTAAGATCTGTCCACATGGAGGTTGGTTAGTACTGCATTAATTCTAATCCCTTTTTACTTCCTCCAGGGCTTAAATATTTACAGGCTTTTCCTACAGAATTCAGTATACGAATCTTCTATTGGGATTTGCTAGTCATGTACATCTTTTCCAGGGTGTAAAAATCATTTAGAAAAAATGATTTGTATGAACTGGTCTGAAGTAAATATTTTCCTGTGAAAGGATACTTAAAATAATTTTTTTACATGGATAGCAGTATTAGAATTTAAAAATTAAGTATCTTGGTTTGTCATAAAGCATTGTTTACTATGTTTTAAAGATTCAGTACTTTTAATTCTTTGAATCTTGCAAATTATTTTTGAAATTCTTTCTCTTGGTGAAATTATTTGAATGTTTAAATAAAAATCCTTCAATCTTAAAATAATGATTGGCAATATTTTGAAATTGTGTGCATCAGAAATGCTTTGGCATAACTTAATAAATTTACTTTCCCCTCTGTTTTTTTCAGAATAACACTGTAGCTCGTAAAGTAATGCAGTCCAAAAAGCCACCTAGGAATTGTAGAGAGGCTTTTACTGCTGATGGTGATCAAGTTTTTGAAGAACGTTATTATTCATCTGAAAATAAAAGACCTAAATTCCTAAGCAAAGATGTGGATTCTGAAATAAGGTTGGTGTCCAGTGTAGTGTTACCTTTATTATTCCCACTGCTTCCTTTGGGATTTAGTTCCTTTCATATTACTCTATTGATAGTCATTTCTGTGAAGGACTATGAATAATTTATTTGGTCTAAAAAGATCATTTAGCTGTACACAGAATTCTAGGTTGATGCTTATCTTCCATTATCACTTTGACAACAGTATTCTGAGCTAAGAACACAGTGTGTTCACCTGAGCAGTTCAGCTGATCTGCACTTTGTTTATTACATGTCTGCAAGCTCAATTTGCTTAACTCAGAATGTGAATCAACTGCATCACTATGCCCATTGTTAGTTCTGCCGATCTTTTGCAGTGATTGTACGTGTGTGCCCGTTTACTTTCTGGCTCAAGTTTCATATTATATGTCTGACTAGTAATTGGAGTTTCACTGTTGGACAAAGGTCAGTCAGCACAACTAGAACACATGCCTAGAAAATTTACAGGAAACAAATGGAGAAGCTGAACAAAAAAGTATTAAGTGTACTTAATGAGATTCAAAAGCATTACAGAAATAATTTTTGGCATGAATAAAACATGGTTTTGCAATCAGACAAATTTAGTTGACAAATTGATGAGTTAGAACTGAATTAGTAACCTAGAAAGCCTTAAGTAGAAGAACTTAGAAATCAAGTAAAAGAAATATCTAAGAAAATGAGTAAAAGCGAATATATTCTAAATGACTTATATGTAAGAGAAATGAGAGTTTTGTTGGAATATCTCTTGTTTTCAAATAATATTAGTCATTTTTATGTGATTATGAGAGCAACATAAAGGAAAATAACATAATGTATATTACAAAGTTTAGTTAAACCTCTTAGCAACAGAAGAATGTTGAATGACTAGCAGTTTGGTCTTATGGCGCTCAGGACACACTTTGAATTGACACTGAATCCTTCTGATAGATAAATGCAAGTCCATAAGTGTTTGAATGTCCTCTAAAGTAATGTTTTTGGCCATTGTGCTGTATTTAAATCAAGCCTTCCTGACTCTTAACAAGAAAGACTAAATTATACAGTATTCAAGCAAATCAGAGTGCAAATGTATAAAAATATCATGGTAGTGTTATTCTCTGTGATTCACACTTTTTCTTTCAATAAAAAAGCATCTTGTGCATTTTTGTCCCAAATCTTTAAAAAGAAGTGTGGCACTCTTGGAAAAGATGGTATCTCACAGCAAATCAGGATCCTTGATTCTAACGTTTTAGGAGTAAGGGTTCAAAACTTAGACTGCAGTTGATAACTTGGCTTCAGTTTTTCGCTGAAAGTATTTGCTTAGTGCTCAGTGGACGAAGCTTTTATTTTAAAAGCCAGGTGAACATTGTTTTTAAAAAATTGTTTCTCATATTGATAAACTTTGTTGATTGAAAATGGACCAAGTTGTGGGTACTATGCTAAGTGAAATAGATGAAAGACAAATAACCATATGATTTCACTTACATGAGGAATCTAAAAAACAACAAACAAAACAAAATGGGAACAGACTCAGATACAGAAAACAATCTAGTGGTTGCCAGAGGGAACTGGGGTAACAGGATGACTGAAATAGGGGAAGATAGAAGCTTCCAATTATGAAATAAGTAAGTCAGGGATAGATAGTATACAGGATAGGGAAGATAGTTAATAATATTGTGACAACATTTTGTGAAGACACATGATACTATATTTATTAGTTGATGACTTCGTAATGTATATACATGTGGAATCCTATACCTGAAACTAGTGTCATACCCTATGTCACTACACTTCAATTAAAACAACAAGAACAGAGAAAAAGGCCGATAGCTAAAAAAAAAGCCAAGTCTGAAAGAATATGGGAAGGAGGAGAAGGCACTGGAGGAAATAATATCCCTGGATTTTCTGGGAGAAAAGTAAAAGTTCTGATGATCTTTAAGTGACTTGTGTGTGATCTGCTTTGACCTAAGCTAATGTGAAAGTTGTCTGACACTTGGAAAATTTTAAGAATTCATTAGTGTCATTTAAATGCAGGAAAATGTAATTAGAAAACCAAAGTAATCATAATTGTGTTTCTCCATAGTCCCTATTGACCTTTTAAAAATAATTATAAATGATATATACATATGGTAAGAAAATACCAATAGTACAGAAAGTGTACAAAGAAGAGTAAAACCCTTTGCTTTTATCCCTCTTTCAAAAGTTTAACAGTTTCTTCTGTATTTCCAGAACAACTAGCTGTTGCCAGTGACCATCATGAAGTATAAATATACAACTTATGGTCCAATCTCAAATATTTAATACTACTAAACAATATTTTAATATTACTAATTATTAATATAAATTAATATTTTTGATATTTACAATAAATGAGCTTTGCTATTTATTAAAATAATTTAATTGTTAAATTTTATCTTTTTTTAATGTAAGTTGATTATTGAATAACAATTGCCAAATGACTGTAGAAAGATTCCTCAGTTTCCTCTTGTACTGTATGAAGAATGCTTCTCTTTATATTCTCCAACTCAGAACTGACAGGTTTCTGTTGATGAAAAATGGCTCTGCAATTCAAATGAAGAGATTATTATTTATTTCTCACAATTTCATGAGTAAAGTGGCTTCCTAGTAGGCAAAGAGTTTCAAGTCTCAAGTACAGGTCCTGACTTGGTTTTATTATTGCCAGTGTGATTTCCCATTATGAAAGTACACAGCAGGGGCGAAGGAAATGTGTACGTGCACTCAGAATAATTACCAGTGCAGCTACTGCTCCATACGAAGGTCACTACATAAAAATTACCTGTGGAGTTTCGAATCATCAAAATCCTGTAACATTTCAATATGATTTTCCAAAGTATGTTTTTCAAATTTTCTTCTTTAATTTGTTCTTTAAAACAGATATTAAATGACTACTTAATATGCCAGTGACTGATTTAATGCACAAAGTACAGCAGGAGACAAAGTACAAAAATTCTACTTTCCTGGAGCTTATATTAGGAAGGGAGATGGACCATAAATGGATACAGTGCCGTGGAGACAAATACACAGAGTAAGGGCTAGCGAGTGAGGGGTGTCCCACTTAGATGGGCTGCACAGGCAACGTGTGTTTGTGCCACACAAACAACTCACACGTACACTTCTCTTAGTTGTCATAGTATTTCATTAGGTAATGTTCTTTCTCCATGTAAAAATTAATTAAAAATAAGGAGGAACACTATGAAAACGTGTAACAGAATTTGCCCTAGCCAGCAAAAATGAACCTACAACACTTAGCAATTTTGTTTTTCTAAATTATGTTGATTGCTTAAATTTATTCTAAATATTCAGAAAGTTGTATAATAATATTGTCTGTAGTCATTTGGTTGGTTTTTATTTTTGGTTTAGGCTCTAGGTTTCAGCTTTTGTTTACTTGGTAAATTGTTTTGAGCAAAATTACTGTTTGGTAATAAAGCTATTGATTTTATATGATAACATAAATGTTTTTTCTAAAATCCCGAGGGGCTATCTTAAAGTTTTTGTATCTGACCTCATTTTTACCAGAAATATTTGTTATTTTCCTCCTCTCTCCATTTTTACCATTCATTTAACTTTCATTCAACTGACATTTACTTATTTATTTAATTTTAAGAATTCCAGCAAGGTAGCACAGTTATATTTCATCAAAATTAAGTTGTTCTATTAATTTTATATACTAGTAAAAAAAGAAAAAATGCTGCAAATTGAACCATGGACCAGAAGATGATTTCAGAGGTATTAAAATGTGGAGTAATATGCATCTTTCTGAAATGTGACATGCTCTCAAACAGAAGCTTTTCTTAACTGTGTAGGTTGATTGTCTTCCACCAGGCATAGAATATTAGGAGACAGATGCTTGGATCAGTGAGGCAGGAAAAGATCACTTCTGAAGATGACGACTGCTGTCTTGGAGACCCTCTATGGCTTTGGCATCATCTTTCTTTGTCCCCTGTCCCTTCTCATTGTCCTCCGCTCCCCATTCATTCAGAGCATTTATTCATCAGGGGTACAGGTTGAGCTCTCAGGTTTACCCGTCTCGTCTCCCTGTGTCTTTGTGTATTTCTTCCCATCTCGTCGCCTAGTTGGTCTAGCTGATGGCAAGTTCAGAGAATACAATTCAGTTGTCACTTCTGAGATTCACTGTCAGGTTTGTGGAGTACTATGGACATACAGCGTCCTGTTTGCATTTTAATGTTATGGTTTACTGCCTGATTTTTCCCCTTTTTGTTTGATTCCTTTGTTAATTCTGTTTCTACCTCTACCTATCATTGCTTGCAAAGAACCTGCCACACAGAAATCATAGCATGAATACTTCTTAATGAAATAAGTAAAATTTGAATGTCAGTTTAGAAGATATTTTTGAAATCTGTATTTTCATGTTAATAACTTGGTGGGAATATAGAACTGGTTTAACTGAGTTGGTTTTTACAAATAAACTATTACAAATAAACTTTTTTGTAAAGACCTAAAGTATTTGTAGTATTCAGAAACAGATTTAAAGTATTTTTTGTCTTCTATTAAGTGACTTGGAGAATGAGATTGAAAATAAGATGGCCCAGATACTAAATCTTCAGCAACATTCGTCTGCCCTTGAGAAGGATATTAAACGCAATGAAGAATTTCTTAGAAGGCGCCAAATACATTATAGAGAGTTAAAGGTAAAATATATGTTATTTTTTTAATCTTACATGGCTTCCAAGTTATTTTTCACATCCTACCACTCATTTAGTTAGAAGAGTAATTCTCAAACTTTCTGGCCTCAATTCCCTTTATAGTCATGAAAGAGCTTTCATTTATGGGGGTTTTATCTTTCAGTGTTCTCATTATTAAAAATTAGAACAATTTAAGGATATTTATTAGCTCATCTGAAAATAATAACTCATTATGTATTAACATAAATAACATTGTTATTACAAACGCTATATTTTTCAAATCCAAAGATATGTTATGAGAAGATTGACATTTTTATAGTTTTGTAAATACTATCTGGCTTAATAAAACTCAACTGAATTATCATACCAGTTCTACAATCAGTCTGTTGCAATTTTACACATTATAGAGTTATAAACATTTACATTCATGAGAAAATGATAGTGAAAATGGAGAATAATATTTTAGTGTTTTTATGAAAGTAGTTTTGACCTCACGACATCCTGAAAGAGTTTCAGAGGCATCCATTGGTTATTTACATCATACTTGATGAACCGTTAGATTCCAGTAAACTTTCCATAACTTGAGTCTGGATGTTTCAGAAAAATATTGTCTCTGTGGTTTCAACATTGTCATCATTTTAAATGCTAAGGTGGAGTGCCTACATCTTTTTTTTGCGTGGGAATAGATTAGCAATAAGGGTGATCCAGGCAGACTCTGTACACGACTTCATTTGGTACATTTAATTCTAATGTGTCTCTTCCATTAATTACAGAATCCTTCTGTAATATAAAGCAGAGTAAGAACTCTGTGGACTAATACATCTTGTCCGGGTTTTTATATGTTTTTTATTTATTCTCATGTTACTAATATCTAAATACTTTTCTTTCAGGTGAAAATAACAGAAAGTATTTCTGAAATTCGGGAACTTGAGAATATAGAAGAGCACCAATCTGTAGATATTGCAACTTTGGTACGATCCTTTCCTCAATTTAAATGTAATGTGAAAGGACAAAACTGTCACTTAGGTTAATAGCATGTACTTTTTTTCTTATTCCTATTAATTGAGGCTACTTTTTATGATTACTGCCTCCATTTACAAATAAGGTAGAAACTACCTGGTATATGGCCTTCAACTTCCTTAATGTTTTGTGTATGTAAGTTGCATGCGTAGTGACTGATTTGGTCTTCTGCACGCAATAAAATGTCATCAAAGTGTAATTGTGCTTCTAAACAGTGGCCTTCCAAACGAAACTCGCTAGCATAATATTTTTCAGAGTTAATCCTTATTAATAGTAACAGATACCTCTTAGCAGGCTGTAGTTGGTCTCTGCCCTGTTTTCTTTTTCCCCCAAGTTAATGGTTTTCATGTTAATTCACCCTCCTTTCATTTTAATTTTAATGAAAATAAAATTTTCATGTTAATTTACTCTCTTTTTTTCAGGCCACTATGTATGCCATTCAGCTTAGCCTTCCTGAGTTACAGTAAGCAGTTGACTAGACAGATGAAGAGTCTTGTTAAAATGCATAAATATTTATTGAGTGTGCTCTGTACTAGGCACCATATCAAGTGCTGGAGAATACAGCAGTGAACGAGAGATGAAGTCCCTACACTGTTAGAGCTTTACTCTAATGAGAATTTTTCTCTATTTTTTATTAGTAGTCTTGTTTTCTACTTTTTATTTTTCTGCTTTAATTCCTTTTATTAACAGACTGAATTTCTTACAGATATGGACTATGCTTTGTTTCTGTTACTCAGCACCTAACTTATTGTCTAGGCATAAGATATGTATTTATATGCACTATGTTTTGAAAGAAAAAGTAACCACCTAAAATAAAAGTTACTCCTTTTTTCATTATAACTTAAGCACAATATAGTTTAATTTATCTTCTAAATGCCATTCCTTTTTATTTTTGAACCTGTGTTCTTCTACTTCCTAATTTACCATTAAGGGTATAAAATATCCTAGCATTCTCTGTATTTACCTGTCATCTGATTTGCCCATAGCCTATAGTTACTCCTCTCTCAAAATCATTTGTACTGTTTTTCTCTTTGATACCTAAAATATTTTAATTGACTTTATATGCTCTGTAAATGTAACCAGGAAGATGAAGCTCAGGAAAATAAAGTCAAAATGAAAATGGTTGAAAAAAACATGGAGCAACAGAAAGAAAATATGGAACATCTTAAAAGTCTGAAAATAGAAGCAGAAAGCAAGTATGATGCAATTAAACTGAAAATTAATCAACTCTCAGACCTAGCAGAACCCCTTAAGGTAATATTACTATTATTCTCATATACTATTCATACATATGTTATGTTTTAGTTTTATGTTCACAGTGTATTCACTAGATATTGTCCTAATTTTATGGTTAAATATAAATATAACCACATAAAAATGGGATAGAAACCAAATTTTCACCATTAGGGCAATTAGAAGTAAACACTGTGCATGCCTTTAAGAGAATAAATTGCCGATTTTCTCTTTCACCCCAGAGGATCACAGCTTTTGTTTCTGCATTATTTTGTGATTTTTTTTCTTCTTTTTTTTAGAACCAGAGGCGGAGGTATCTTGTCTGTCTCTACTGTTTCCGTGCGTGCCTGTTCTGTTGTCCCTCTTTTCTTTCCTTCAGTAACTCAATGATTAGTTGATA